CTGCTCTGTCTCTAGCTGCTAGTCCTGCTCTAGTCCTGCTCTAGTCTCTGCTCTAGTCTCTGCTCTAGTCTCTGCTCTAGTCCTGCTTTAGTCGCTGCTCTAGTCTCTGCTCTAGTCCTGCTCTAGTCTCTGCTCTAGTCTCTGCTCTAGTCTCTGCTCTAGTCCTGCTCTAGTCTCTGCTCTAGTCTCTGCTCTAGTCTCTGCTCTAGTCCTGCTCTAGTCCTGCTCTAGTCTCTGCTCTAGTCTCTGCTCTAGTCTCTGCTCTAGTCCTGCTCTAGTCTCTGCTCTAGTCTCTGCTCTAGTCTCTGCTCTAGTCTCTGCTCTAGTCCTGCTCTAGTCTCTGCTCTAGTCTCTGCTCTAGTCTCTGCTCTAGTCTCTGCTCTAGTCTCTGCTCTAGTCCTGCTCTAGTCTCGGCTCTAGTCCTGCTCTAGTCTCTGCTCTAGTCTCTGCTCTAGTCTCTGCTCTAGTCTCTGCTCTAGTCTCGGCTCTAGTCTCGGCTCTAGTCTCGGCTCTAGTCTCGGCTCTAGTCTCGGCTCTAGTCTCGGCTCTAGTCTCGGCTCTAGTCTCTGCTCTAGTCTCTGCTCTAGTCTCTGCTCTAGTCTCTGCTCTAGTCCTGCTCTAGTCTCTGCTCTAGTCTCTGCTCTAGTCTCTGCTCTAGTCTCTGCTCTAGTCCTGCTCTAGTCCTGCTCTAGTCTCTGCTCTAGTCTCTGCTCTAGTCCTGCTCTTGTCTCTGCTCTAGTCTCTGCTCTAGTCCTGCTCTAGTCTCTGCTCTAGTCTCTGCTCTAGTCTCTGCTCTAGTCTCGGCTCTAGTCTCTGCTCTAGTCCTGCTCTAGTCTCTGCTCTAGTCTCTGCTCTAGTCTCTGCTCTAGTCTCTGCTCTAGTCTCTGCTCTAGTCTCTGCTCTAGTCTCTGCTCTAGTCTGCTCTAGTCCTGCTCTAGTCTCTGCTCTAGTCTCTGCTCTAGTCCTGCTCTAGTCTCTGCTCTAGTCTCTGCTCTAGTCTCTGCTCTAGTCTCTGCTCTAGTCCTGCTCTAGTCTCTGCTCTAGTCTCTGCTCTAGTCCTGCTCTAGTCTCTGCTCTAGTCTCTGCTCTAGTCTGCTCCTAGTCTCTGCTCTAGTCTCTGCTCTAGTCTCTGCTCTAGTCTCTGCTCTAGTCTCTGCTCTAGTCTCTGCTCTAGTCTCTGCTCTAGTCTCTGCTCTAGTCTCGCTCTAGTCTCTGCTCTAGTCTGCTCTAGTCTCTGCTCTAGTCCTGCTCTAGTCTCTGCTCTAGTCTGCTCTAGTCTCTGCTCTAGTCCTGCTCTAGTCTCTGCTCTAGTCCTGCTCTAGTCTCTGCTCTAGTCTCTGCTCTAGTCTCTGCTCTAGTCTCTGCTCTAGTCTCTGCTCTAGTCTGCTCTAGTCTCTGCTCTAGTCTCTGCTCTAGTCTCTGCTCTAGTCTCGGCTCTAGTCTCGCTCTAGTCTCTGCTCTAGTCTCTGCTCTAGTCTCGCTCTAGTCTCTGCTCTAGTCTCTGCTCTAGTCTCTGCTCTAGTCTCTGCTCTAGTCTCTGCTCTAGTCTCTGCTCTAGTCTCTGCTCTAGTCTCTGCTCTAGTCTCTGCTCTAGTCTCTGCTCTAGTCTCTGCTCTAGTCTCTGCTCTAGTCTCTGCTCTAGTCTCTGCTCTAGTCTCTGCTCTAGTCTCTGCTCTAGTCTCTGCTCTAGTCTCTGCTCTAGTCTCTCTCTAGCTCTGTCTCTAGTCTCGCTCTAGCTGCTCTAGTCCTGCTCTAGTCTCTGCTCTAGTCTCTGCTCTAGTCTCTGCTCTAGTCTCGCTCTAGTCTCTGCTCTAGTCTCTGCTCTAGTCTCTGCTCTAGTCTCTGCTCTAGTCCTGCTCTAGTCTCTGCTCTAGTCTCTGCTCTAGTCTCTGCTCTAGTCCTGCTCTAGTCTCTGCTCTAGTCTCTGCTCTAGTCCTGCTCTAGTCCTGCTCTAGTCTCTGCTCTAGTCTCTGCTCTAGTCTCTGCTCTAGTCCTGCTTTAGTCGCTGCTCTAGTCTCTGCTCTAGTCTCTGCTCTAGTCCTGCTCTAGTCTCTGCTCTAGTCTCTGCTCTAGTCTCGGCTCTAGTCTCTGCTCTAGTCTCGGCTCTAGTCCTGCTCTAGTCTCTGCTTTAGTCTCTGCTCTAGTCTCTGCTCTAGTCTCTGCTCTAGTCTCGGCTCTAGTCTCGGCTCTAGTCTCGGCTCTAGTCTCGGCTCTAGTCTCGGCTCTAGTCCTGCTCTAGTCTCGGCTCTAGTCCTGCTCTAGTCTCTGCTCTAGTCCTGCTTTAGTCTCTGCTCTAGTCCTGCTTTAGTCGCTGCTCTAGTCTCTGCTCTAGTCTCTGCTCTAGTCCTGCTCTAGTCTCTGCTCTAGTCTCTGCTCTAGTCTCGGCTCTAGTCTCTGCTCTAGTCTCGGCTCTAGTCCTGCTCTAGTCTCTGCTTTAGTCTCTGCTCTAGTCTCTGCTCTAGTCTCTGCTCTAGTCTCGGCTCTAGTCTCGGCTCTAGTCTCGGCTCTAGTCTCGGCTCTAGTCTCGGCTCTAGTCCTGCTCTAGTCTCGGCTCTAGTCCTGCTCTAGTCTCTGCTCTAGTCCTGCTTTAGTCTCTGCTCTAGTCCTGCTCTAGTCTCTGCTCTAGTCTCTGCTCTAGTCCTGCTCTAGTCTCTGCTCTAGTCTCTGCTCTAGTCCTGCTTTAGTCTCTGCTCTAGTCCTGCTCTAGTCTCTGCTCTAGTCTCTGCTCTAGTCTCTGCTCTAGTTTCGGCCTCTAGTCTCGGCTCTAGTCTCGGCTCTAGTCCTGCTCTAGTCTCTGCTCTAGTCTCTGCTCTAGTCTCGGCTCTAGTCTCGGCTCTAGTCTCGGCTCTAGTCTCGGCTCTAGTCTCGGCTCTAGTCCTGCTCTAGTCTCTGCTCTAGTCTCTGCTCTAGTCTCGGCTCTAGTCTCGGCTCTAGTCTCGGCTCTAGTCCTGCTCTAGTCTCTGCTCTAGTCTCGGCTCTAGTCTCGGCTCTAGTCTCGGCTCTAGTCTCGGCTCTAGTCTCGGCTCTAGTCTTGGCTCTAGTCTCGGCTCTAGTCCTGCTCTAGTTTCTGCTCTAGTCCTGCTTTAGTCTCTGCTCTAGTCCTGCTCTAGTCTCTGCTCTAGTCCTGCTCTAGTCTCTGCTCTAGTCTCTGCTCTAGTCTCTGCTCTAGTCTCGGCTCTAGTCTCGGCTCTAGTCTCTGCTCTAGTCTCTGCTCTAGTCTCTGCTCTAGTCTCTGCTCTAGTCTCTGCTCTAGTCTCTGCTCTAGTCCTGCTTTAGTCTCTGCTCTAGTCTCTGCTCTAGTCCTGCTCTAGTCTCTGCTCTAGTCTCTGCTCTAGTCTCTGCTCTAGTCCTGCTCTAGTCTCGGCTCTAGTCTCGGCTCTAGTCTCGGCTCTAGTCTCGGCTCTAGTCTCGGCTCTAGTCTCGGCTCTAGTCCTGCTCTAGTCCTGCTCTAGTCCTGCTCTAGTCCTGCTCTAGTCTCTGCTCTGGTCCTGCTCTGGTCCTGCTCTAGTTCCTTAAGCTCCGTCTCATGCATTTGTTCGTTTGATTCTCTGATCTGTTGGTGAGGAATCTTTGTAAAGTCCTCTGAGATAAGTGCTTTTGTGATTTAGGACGATACAAAAATAAACACTGAATAAACACGGCTAAAAAGACGCACTGATCAAGGACAGATCTGGTCGTTCAGAAAAAGACCACCACAGATTTGCTTTTATACACAGCACTTTTTATTCCACTACAAAAGAGGCGTTTGAAAAGCACCGGTGAAAGAAGTGTTTTCACTTCAAACTAAAGTCTTTTCAGTCCAGCGCAAGACGGCAGCTGTCTGTGACATGCAAACGTAACGAGAGGCCTCTGTGGAAGAGTTCAGGGATCATAAATTATACAATAATGAATGCACACATTAGGAAAGAAAAAGACTAAACTAAACAATCCACAAAAGCTAATGATAATAATACAATATAATACTTTTGCAAAGGAAATGTAACGTCTATCCAAATGTTACCTGGGTTATTATTTTCAAGTCTGTACAATCATGAAAATGTAGTGAAATTACAATAATGTTGGATCAGAGTGGAGGCAGTTTTAACAGTGACGGAGAGTCTTATGGAGCGGACAGATCGCCATGACGACAGAGGTTTGATGTTTGGAAAATGATCATTTTGATGCAGAGAATACTCGAGTATGGTCTGCTCTGTGCCGTCACAAACCGCGTCCTTTGGAAAATTGTGTGGTTGTCATGGTTACGTCTACGACTGCGCTCTCTCAGGGCCACCCTGAAAATTCATGTTATTTTGAGCAGTCTCTTTTTTTCTTTGTAATTGAATCAAAATATACAAATGTGATTGATACAAGTTGAGTATTTATGTTGTAAGTCTTGAGACTTCAGCAGTGGCTCTGAGGGGCCCCGGAGCCCAGTTTGGGAAACACTGGTCAATGGAAAAACGTTAGAGCAGCGTCCACATAAAGACAAAGCCTTCTTTAGAAGTCTGAGTCGAGCAGGAATAATGTCTGAACTAAACTTAATCTGCGAGAAAGAAAACCTTGAGTTCAAACAACAACATATTCTATCGATCAGAACAGGTTTTATCCGTCAATTGAAAAACACAAAACTTGTAAAAATGTTAATTTTAAATAAGAAAAGTCACATTATGTGGAAATGTATCCATCAAATCTCCTCAAACGAAGAACATGAAGTTCAAACGACTGCCTTTGCTTCATGATGCAGCGTGATTCATACGACACCGTCTGCAGCGGCGTCTGCAGCGGCGTCTGCAGCGGCCGCACAAGGACAGGACTGTGGTTGGACATCGGAGCGCGTTCGTCTGCTCGTCTCATTTACATAAATGTAAATATGAAGCAGGACTTTCGTGCATCATGTTCAAATTGTTTAAACTCAAAAGTCCTTTTACAATTCTTTGCTCGTTACATTCACGATGGAACAAACTGAAATGTGATTGGACGGAGACGGACTCTTTATTGTGTGGGAATAATGCATAGCAGGTTTAGACATGGCTCTCGTAGAACACCTGAACTGGAGGCAGAGGCGGCGGAGGCGGAGGCGACGGCGGTGCTTCTTCTGCAGGCGTCTCTTCTGGCAGCGGAGGAGAGAGAGGCGGAGCTACATCAGGCGTAGTGGGCGGGGCTTGCTCTTGCTCGTTACCACAGTACTCCCCAGTAACCAGCGGGGGGTGCACCGACACCTGTATGGCCATGTGCTGCGGCTGGTCGTGCATGGAGGAGTTGTCCGAGTCGGCGGCTGGAGACTGGCTGCGCTCTTGAGGCGGCGCCTCGGGCTCGTGCCGCTCCTGCAGGATGCCGAAGACGTCCCGTGGCCCCATGGCGATGCGCCCGGCCGCGTGCCGCATTTCCTCCACCCCCACCACCTCCAGCAGCTCCTCCATCAGCGTGCGGCAGTTCATGATGAGCGGAGGCAGCGGGATGCTGCGCGCCAACTCCTCGATGTAGCGCGCAAACTCCATGGTCTTGAACTGCGTCACCTGCAGCGACCGCAGACACATGTTTGAATACACATTTTAAACATTTGACCAAAACAGTCAATCACTAAATATAAAACTATTTGAACTTGTGGGAAAAGTATTTTCTGATTCAACCTTTTAGGCATTTGAATAAATATTAGACATTTAAATAATAATCTTTAGACTCATAAGTCTCACTTCTTCAAGCCTGCTCACAATCCTGATCGGCTCACACACAAACACACTTTCAGAATAAATGTTATGCATTATCTTTGTGATTAAAAATGATTTGTCATTTCATGTTTTAGAACAGAAAATATATGATGACAGATGCATCAACGTGTAACCCCCTAAGCCACCACCAGAGGGAGGAGTTGAATCTTTTTGGGGTTCTGTCAGTGAGAAAAGTCATTTGGGGGCAATACTTTTGTTTTAAAAGGAATAAAACTGCCCTGAACAATAACATCGTATTATTAAAAGTTTAAGACAGAATATTTATGCCAGAAGTTCCAGATATCATGGTGGATGGAGTTAAAAGGTGGTTTTAAAGCGTTCATTTGTCTTGCTCCACCCAGCGGCTACTTTTAGAATGATCTATGTATGTGTCGTGTTTGTGTGGATGGATGTGTTTCTGCTGCTACTGGACACCTGCATTTCTCCTCTGGGGATCAATAAAGTTTCTACTTATCGTTCTATCTATTTGGCTCCATCAAATGTTTGTTTAATATTTTCCACGGCCCCAGTCGAGTCCCGCCGTACCTTCGCCAGCTCCAGAGTCTTGGCTGAGGTGATTATTGGGATGCGTTTGGCGATTTCGAAGGCCTTCTGCAGCTTCTCAGCTCCCTCGGTGCGGAAGAACTCGTTGATGGCTTGTTCGGTTTTCTTGAGGTGGCTGCTCATCATGCAGAGCCGTGTGATGTTGAGGATCATGATGATGGTGAAGGTGACCAGGCAGACCACCATGTAGTACACGCCCATGTCCCCGTTGATGAAGACCACGCGCAGGGTCACCGTGCAGTTGGAGCTGCCGTGGACGTTGGAGACCACGCACGTGTACTTTCCGCGGTCCGAGAACTCTATGTCTGTGATGTTCAAGACGCCGTCCTCCAGCAGCCACCACTTTCCACCTGAAAAAACACAGGATTTAGCATCAACACAACACAGTTCATTTCTCTAATCCCTGAAATCCACAAGAAACAAAAACAAGTTCCACATCTTTGTCAGCACATATCAGCTATGGTCTAATTATTTTCTCACAAAAGGTATATATATATATATGATATTGGCCTGGAGAAAGGACATATGGCGGTTTGTTGAATCAGAGTCACTATCTAATAACAGTTGGGGAAAACATTTGGACACTTTCTTTGTGTTTCTTCCCACAGAGATGTCCTGGCACCTTCCCTCCAACAGAAAAATAATCTACAGCATGAAGGCGACCTATTGAAAAACTCTGATACATTTATTCTGATCATTTACATCTGATACTATTAAACCAGGTAACTAAAACATACAGTACATTTTTACTCATGTGGAACCATTCTGACGAGGGCATATTGGTTTTATGAAACAAGCAGGTGATGGACCCTCTTCCAGAAAACATACATATTGTTTGTGCTGAACTTGCACTACAATAACTTTCATATTTTACAGTGTGGTAATGGTGTGAATAAGATTAACTTAGCAAAACCTTTTCAAACAAAAAAGAACGAGAAATCTCAGGGTTAAGTGACTGGAAGGATCTTTTAGATTCTGTTTGTCCTTTAACCTGCCTGGGCAGGTGCAGCTAGAGCCATTTTAAAGCCACAAAACTCCCAACAAAAATCACAAAAGAAACCATAGCACTAATGTCAACAATAACAACAAAAGATCTGATAGAATCTCGAGTCTGTGATCCAGGAAGCTCCAGTGAGTCCCGCTTGATGAGAGGAAATGACAGGGACCAGAGAAACAAAGCAGACTAGACCAGGACTGAACCTGTTCATGTGATGGATCAGAAAACAATAGTCTAAGTTGATGAAGTGAATTGAGAAAAATATATTCATAAAACTATTTTTCAGAAATAAAAAACTGGAAATTGGCATGTGCATAAGTATTCACCCCCTTTGTTATGAAGCCCATAAAAAGCTCTGATGCAGCCAACTACCTTCAGAAGGCACATACACAGTGGAATGATGTCTACCTGTGTGCAAGAGTCACATGATCTGTCAGAACATACACACACCTTTAAGAGTCACATGACCTGTCAGTACACCTTTAAGTGTCACATGACCCGTCAGTACATACACACACCTTTAAGTGTCACATGCCCTGTCAGTACATACACACCTTTAAGAGTCACATGCCCTGTCAGTACATACACACCTTTAAGAGTCACATGCCCTGTCAGTACATACACACCTTTAAGAGTCACATGCCCTGTCAGTACATACACACCTTTAAGAGTCACATGCCCTGTCAGTACATACACACCTTTAAGAGTCACATGACCTGTCAGTACATACACACCTTTAAGTGTCACATGACCTGTCAGTACATACACACCTTTAAGTGTCACATGACCCGTCAGTACATACACACACCTTTAAGTGTCACATGCCCTGTCAGTACATACACACCTTTAAGAGTCACATGCCCTGTCAGTACATACACACCTTTAAGAGTCACATGCCCTGTCAGTACATACACACCTTTAAGTGTCACATGCCCTGTCAGTACATACACACCTTTAAGAGTCACATGCCCTGTCAGTACATACACACCTTTAAGAGTCACATGCCCTGTCAGTACATACACACCTTTAAGAGTCACATGATCTGTCAGTACATACACACCTTTAAGTGTCACATGCCCTGTCAGTACATACACACCTTTAAGAGTCACATGCCCTGTCAGTACATACACACCTTTAAGAGTCACATGACCTGTCAGTACATACACACCTTTAAGTGTCACATGACCTGTCAGTACATACACACCTTTAAGAGTCACATGACCTGTCAGTACATACACACCTTTAAGAGTCACATGACCTGTCAGTACATACACACCTTTAAGAGTCACATGACCTGTCAGTACATACACACCTTTAAGAGTCACATGACCTGTCAGTACATACACACCTTTAAGTGTCACATGACCTGTCAGTACATACACACCTTTAAGAGTCACATGACCTGTCAGTACATACACACCTTTAAGAGTCACATGACCTGTCAGTACATACACACCTTTAAGTGTCACATGCCCTGTCAGTACATACACACCTTTAAGAGTCACATGACCCGTCAGTACATACACACCTTTAAGTGTCACATGACCTGTCAGTACATACACACACCTTTAAGTGTCACATGACCTGTCAGTACATACACACCTTTAAGTGTCACATGACCTGTCAGTACATACACACACCTTTAAGAGTCACATGACCTGTCAGTACATACACACACCTTTAAGAGTCACATGACCTGTCAGTATATACACACCTTTAAGAGTCACATGACCTGTCAGTACATACACACCTTTAAGAGTCACATGATCTGTCAGTACATACACACACCTGTGTCACATGACCTGTCAGTACATACACACCTTTAAGAGTCACATGACCTGTCAGTACATACACACCTTTAAGAGTCACATGACCCGTCAGTACATACACACCTTTAAGAGTCACATGATCTGTCAGTACATACACACCTTTAAGTGTCACATGACCCGTCAGTACATACACACCTTTAAGAGTCACATGACCCGTCAGTACATACACACCTTTAAGTGTCACATGACCCGTCAGTACATACACACCTTTAAGTGTCACATGACCTGTCAGTACATACACACCTTTAAGTGTCACATGACCTGTCAGTACATACACACCTTTAAGTGTCACATGACCTGTCAGTACATACACACACCTTTAAGAGTCACATGACCTGTCAGTACATACACACCTTTAAGAGTCACATGACCTGTCAGTATATACACACCTTTAAGAGTCACATGACCTGTCAGTACATACACACCTTTAAGAGTCACATGACCTGTCAGTACATACACACCTTTAAGAGTCACATGACCTGTCAGTACATACACACACCTTTAAGAGTCACATGACCTGTCAGTACATACACACCTTTAAGAGTCACATGACCTGTCAGTACATACACACACCTTTAAGTGTCACATGCCCTGTCAGTACATACACACACCTTTAAGAGTCACATGACCTGTCAGTATATACACACCTTTAAGAGTCACATGATCTGTCAGTACATACACACACCTGTGTCACATGACCTGTCAGTACATACACACCTTTAAGAGTCACATGATCTGTCAGTACATACACACCTTTAAGTGTCACATGACCTGTCAGTACATACACACCTTTAAGTGTCACATGACCTGTCAGTACATACACACCTTTAAGAGTCACATGACCTGTCAGTACATACACACCTTTAAGTGTCACATGACCTGTCAGTATATACACACCTTTAAGAGTCACATGACCTGTCAGTACATACACACCTTTAAGAGTCACATGACCTGTCAGTACATACACACCTTTAAGAGTCACATGACCTGTCAGTACATACACACCTTTAAGAGTCACATGATCTGTCAGTACATACACACACCTGTGTCACATGACCTGTCAGTACATACACACCTTTAAGTGTCACATGATCTGTCAGTACATACACACCTGTGTCACATGACCTGTCAGTACGTACACACACCTGAAAGGCCTCAGAGGCTGCAACACCAAAGCAAGAGGCACCACTGACCAAACACTGCCATGAAGACCAAGGAACTCTCCAAACAGGTCAGGGACAGTGTTGTTGAGAAGTCAGGGTTAGGTTATAAACAAATATCCAAATCTGTGATGATCCCCAGGAGCACCATCAAATCTATCATAACCAAATGGAAAGAACATGGCACAACAGCAAACCTGCCAAGAGACGGCCGCCCACCAAAACTCAGGGACCGGGCACGGAGGGCATTAATCAGAGGCAGCACAGAGCCCTGAGGTAACCCTGGAGGAGCTGCAGAGTTCCACAGCAGAGACTGGAGCATCTGTACATAGGACCACAATAAGCCGTACGCTCCATAGAGTTGGCTTTATGGCAGAGCGGCAGAAGAAAGCCAGCAAAAAACAAAATGGCAGGTTTTGAGTTTGCGAAAAGGCATGAGGGAGACTCCCAAAATGTACGGAGGAAGGTGCTCTGGTCTGATCAGACTAACATTGAACTTTTCAGCCATCAAGGAAAACGCTATGTCTGCTACAAACCCAACACATCACATCAACCAAAGAACAATCCATCTTTCCCTCAACTCTGACCAGTTTCCCAGTCCTGCTGAAAACCATCCCCACAGCATGATGCTGCCACCACCATGTTTCACTGTGGGGATGGTTTTCAGCAGGACTGGGAAACTGGTCAGAGTTGAGGGAAAGATGGATGGTGCTAAATACAGGGATATTCTTGAGCTAAACCTGTTCCACTCTGTGCGTATTTGAGGCTAGGACGGAGGTTCACCTTCCAGCAGGACAATGACCCCAATAATAATAATAATAATAATAATGAATAGTTATGCACAGAGACCTTTTCTGTTATTTTGTCCTATTTGTTGTTTGCTTCACAATAAAAAAAAGACATCTTCAAAGTTGTGGCATGTTCTGTAAATTAACTGATGCAAATCCTCAAACAATCCATGTTAATTCCAGGTTGAGAGGCAACAAAACACACAAAATGCTAAGGGGAGTGAATACTTTTGCAAGGCACTGTAAATATATAAATATATTATATATATATGTATATATATACAGTATATATCATGTGAAATGAGAGCACATGCACTGATCATGGGAGTCATGAAGCAAATCCAGAAAATGAACAACGTAAGATTAAATAGACATTCAACACCGTCTCTGAACCAGTGGGTAAAACAATGTGTTCAAATACCATGTGGACAGAATACATCTGTGCTTTAATACCATGTGGACAGAATACATCTGTGCTTTAATACCATGTGGACAGAATACATCTGTGCTTTAATACCATGTGGACAGAATACATCTGTGCTTTAATACCATGTGGACAGAATACAGCTGTGCTTTAATACCATGTGGACAGAATACATCTGTGCTTTAATACCATGTGGACAGAATACATCTGTGCCTTAATACCATGTGGACAGAATACATCTGTGCTTTAATACCATGTGGACAGAATACATCTGTGCTTTAATACCATGTGGACAGAATACATCTGTGCTTTAATGCCATGTGGACAGAATACATCTGTGCTTTAATACCATGTGGACAGAATACATCTGTGCTTTAATACCATGTGGACAGAATACAGCTGTGCTTTAATACCATGTGGACAGAATACATCTGTGCCTTAATACCATGTGGACAGAATACAGCTGTGCTTTAATACCATGTGGACAGAATACATCTGTGCTTTAATACCATGTGGACAGAATACATCTGTGCTTTAATACCATGTGGACAGAATACAGCTGTGCTTTAATACCATGTGGACAGAATACAGCTGTGCTTTAATACCATGTGGACAGAATACATCTGTGCTTTAATACCATGTGGACAGAATACAGCTGTGCTTTAATACCATGTGGACAGAATACATCTGTGCTTTAATACCATGTGGACAGAATACAGCTGTGCTTTAATACCATGTGGACAGAATACAGCTGTGCTTTAATACCATGTGGACAGAATACAGCTGTGCTTTAATACCATGTGGATAGAATACATCTGTGCTTTAATACCATGTGGACAGAATACATCTGTGCTTTAATACCATGTGGACAGAATACATCTGTGCCTTAATACCATGTGGACAGAAAGAATACATCTGTGCTTTAATACCATGTGGACAGAATACATCTGTGCTTTAATACCATGTGGACAGAATACAGCTGTTCCTTGTATACACAGTCATTACTTCCCATAATGCACCAGCAGCACACACGCAAAGCAGGGTCTGGCTCAACACGACGCAGACAAAACATGGAGCAGTCGACCTTATCGGCCGATCCACTCATCAATCCAACATAGAAATAACTTTAGATTCTAAGTCAAAGACTCTGGAAAGAATCTAACTCAAATCTAACGTTAGTCACTAGTTCCACTTCCATCAAGACTTATATCACCTTGACCTTTAAGCTACCCTTGGGTCAAAAGGATACAAAGATAGTGATTAAAAGTAGAATAAAAATATCCTAAATTTGTGTCTAAATGACCCAGGGCTGGTCAAGTTAGGAAGAATAATCAACATTAATCTCAAAAATGTGTTTTTTAGGACATATAAAAATCACAGTAGTGAGCACAAGAGTTATACAAACAGAGGAAACAAATCCCAGAAACAGTTATTAGTTATTAGTAGATCATAAACTACTTCCATAAACACTGCTCGTCTCCACAGAATCTTTAAGAAACCTGCGTCACGATATTCACTGAGCAATGACACCGTCTGCAGAGGTCAGTGATTTTCCACTGCAGGTTTTGTTTTTCTGAAGGTCGGTGCTAACTCATTTATGAGCAATGTGGCGGACGCTGAGACTGCGGCGTTTGTCCTGGGGATAAAATGATCTAAAATGATCTAAAATGATCTAAAAGCTGTGAAACAACAACAACATGTGCCTTCTGCTGAGACATGATTCCATCTGCGTCACTCTCCAGAATCCACACAAAACCATTGAACTATTTGCCTTTCCTGAGGATGAGACTTATGGAAATTGCTGAATGGTCAAATTAAAGCAAAAACAATGCAAATATAAATCTCCAAGTCAAAGTGAAAAGAGCAGGTCACAGAAGACAACAGCGAGTTTCAACAGATCCCTCTCTGCATTCCTCAAACTACACAGACGTCAACAAACATTCTCCTCATGAAATTATCTTTAAGAGGTTCTTAATCTCAATGGGACTTTCCAAAAGCCAATAGATTCAATAGATACAACAGACCTGGATGATCAAGTATCTAACTAATCTATAATTGAAATGGCCAACTCATTTAGTGACCAATGAATTGTTATTTTATGGTCAGATTGACGTAAATATGCCGAGAAGAGGTTTTATGACTCAGATAATTCTATAATGACTGCAGAATGAGAGGAAATGTATTCACAAAGTACTTTTAAACAGACAAACCAATGTGTAAGTGCTTTTCTCTACAAAATGTTCTCCAGAGGCAACACAGCTTTGTTTTGGTCAAAAGCTTTGGGATGAAAACTAAGAGGTTATAAAAATAACTGTTATTACAGCCATATTCATGAAGTTGTTGATACATGATGAGACATTTCTGTGTTGGTAAAGTAAAGTAGTAGTAGTTCCAGTCTCCTGTTGCCCTAACCCGAGGCGTAAAACTTTAACTCGTGGTGGCTCTCGACAGCCTCAAAAACCAACAGAACTGACCTCCACTAACTGGGTCAAAGAGATCAAGTAAATGATTCCTTCACAGTAAAGAAGTAGGTTCTGCAGGATAGTATTTTATAACAGACAAACTGCTGAAACACACGCTAATGACAATAATAACACATTTTATAAGAGTAAAGAGAAACAGAAACCATAATGAGCTGAAGAAGTGACTTTGCCAAAACAAACAATATAATATCATTTAAAACAATTAAGTCTGTAGTACAATAAGTGAAACTAGTTCCTCCATCTCAAGATTGAAGAATGTATTGCCATTTGCAGTAAAACCACATTGGAAAAACTGCCCCACCAACGCTCCTGCCGCTGTTTATCGGCGCCTCAAAACAGAATGAGAACGTCGCTAGTTTTCAGAAGTAGGATTTTTTGCCTTCCATCACATTTTTAAATCACCCTTTTCAGCAAAAAGGGAGGACCGACCTCACTCCGTCAATCAGCTCACAGACGTTTACAATTATGATATAGACGCCATGTTGCAAAATGTTACTTAAACAAGACTTTGTTGGGACAAACAAAAATGCAATAATGAAACAAAAAACCTTGTAATGGTTTTAGTTCAAACGATCAATTATAATCTGCAGTTATTCTCACAAATCTATATAATTGTAATTTTGAAGTTTGGTTAAACAATTATACTTGTATTAACAGGTTGTTGTTACACAGTGACCCAGTGTTACACAGTGACCCAGTGTTACACAGTGTTACACAGTGACCCAGTGTTACACAGTGACCCAGTGTTACACAGTGACCCAGTGTTACACAGTGTTACACAGTGACCCAGTGTTACACAGTGACCCAGTGTTACACAGTGTTACACAGTGACCCAGTGTTACACAGTGACCCAGTGTTACACAGTGACCCAGTGTTACACAGTGACCCAGTGTTACACAGTGACCCAGTGTTACACAGTGACCCAGTGTTACACAGTGTTACACAGTGACCCAGTGTTACACAGTGACCCAGTGTTACACAGTGTTACACAGTGACCCAGTGTTACACAGTGTTACACAGTGACCCAGTGTTACACAGTGTTACACAGTGACCCAGTGTTACACAGTGACCCAGTGTTACACAGTGACCCAGTGTTACACAGACCCAGTGTTACACAGACCCAGTGTTACACAGACCCAGTGTTACTTAGTGACCCAGTGTTACACAGTGACCCAGTGTTACACAGTGACCCAGTGTTACACAGTGACCCAGTGTTACACAGTGACCCAGTGTTACACAGTGACCCAGTGTTACACAGTGACCCAGTGTTACACAGTGACCCAGTGTTACACAGTGACCCAGTGTTACACAGTGTTACACAGTGACCCAGTGTTACACAGACCCAGTGTTACTTAGTGACCCAGTGTTACACAGTGTTACACAGTGACCCAGTGTTACTTAGTGACCCAGTGTTACACAGTGACCCAGTGTTACTTAGTGACCCAGTGTTACACAGTGACCCAGTGTTACACAGTGACCCAGTGTTACACAGTGACCCAGTATTACACAGTGACCCAGTGTTACACAGTGACCCAGTGTTACACAGTGACCCAGTGTTACACAGTGACCCAGTGTTACACAGTGACCCAGTGTTACACAGTGACCCAGTGTTACACAGTGACCCAGTGTTACACAGTGACCCAGTGTTACACAGTGACCCAGTATTACACAGTGACCCAGTGTTACACAGTGACCCAGTGTTACACAGTGACCCAGTATTACACAGTGACCCAGTATTACACAGTGACCCAGTATTACACAGTGACCCAGTGTTACACAGACCCAGTGTTACACAGTGACCCAGTATTACACAGTGACCCAGTATTACACAGTGACCCAGTATTACACAGTGACCCAGTGTTACACAGTGACCCAGTGTTACACAGACCCAGTGTTACACAGTGACCCAGTGTTACACAGTGACCCAGTGTTACACAGTGACCCAGTGTTACACAGACCCAGTGTTACACAGTGACCCAGTGTTACACAGTGACCCAGTGTTCAGCGCTTGTAATCCTAACTGTGTAAAGTAGACCCAGGTTTAGTGTGTCAGCCTTGTCTGTTTGTGCTTGTGTCATACCGTTGTCGGTGTCCAGCTTCTCTCCGTGGGAATTGAACCAGCGCACACTCGGGAAGGGCTCTCCGGTGACATTACAATCAATCAGCACACAGGTCCCCTCACGGGCAATTATCTGGCTGACTTTGGTGCGCGCTGCTGGCACGATCCCATCCTCCAACCACACACTCGCATTCTGAAAGCCATCTTCAGTGCGGTTTGCAAAGGCTGCGGTGGTTTGAGAGGTCACACAAGTCGCCAAGACCAGTAAGAGCACAAAAAAAGCTTCTCTGTGACCGACAAACCGGGACATTTTCTCCAGTTATCAGCGCTTCAGGCCAGAGGGAACGGACTGTCATTGCCCCCGGGACGACATTGACTTAACTATCTCTTCACGAAGGAAGGCAGCTTGGTTTGGGGCTTCTCAAATTGGAGCATATCACTGGAAAAAGAACAAGGAGAAAATCAAATATTTGTCATTAATCGGCAAGAGCAAACAATCTAAAGTCACGGCAGACAATTGCTGATAAAACGCTGGGTAAATGGTCATAAAAAGATAAAGAGTTGCATTTCCTTATCACAACGAGTTTGTCAAATAGATATCATCCAATGCTGTGTCAATAACACAATTGGCAAGAGCGAAATTTACAACTGTCCTAATATAATCTGGAAACATGTCTAATTAGCATACATTAGCATTCACCAGGTCAAAAACAGACTCATACTAATACATACATTAAGTTTAAGTTACCATCAATATATAATAGCTGTCATTGTTATTGGATGTTACTTTAATATTATTTAATATAAATAAAAGACAGAATTGCAACAACATATCTACAGACTACTACATGTGTACATTATCATTGACCGTAGTTATACAAACATTGTAGAAATAAAAGTGTTATAGATGCAGGGTACAGGATAAGTGGGGGCCTGCTAATATGTCTGAAACTTAATCTTAACCACACAAATGTTTACAGACAGACAGAGCAACGTGTGTATCCAGTGTCAAAAATAGAAAAAATGAGCAAAACACTACTTGAGCTTAAATTGGTGAAACTAGAAAAAGGCAGAGGGCCCATTTTTCTTAATGACACTGCACTGTTTACATTCGGCTCCAAAGCGGCTCAAAGCTGCTCCATGTGCACTGTTGACAGCCTGGACATCACCTGGATCACGTGACAACACTTGCACGTAATTAAAATACATGTTGACGTTTTAAATTGTGGAAAAAAATGGTGTTTTTAGTGGCAGTCTGCACAGCGCTTACAGATCTGTCATTAACGCACAGCTCCTGCTCCTCTGACGTGGATGCTAAGCTAACGGCTAACTAAGCTAACGGCTAATCCGGAGCGTTAACCTTAATAACCGCGCGGGGTTTCTGGTTAAATACGTACATTTTTTGGTGTGTGTCCGTGTGTTTGTTCGCCGGTAGATGTGCTCCGGTGTCGGGACAGGCTGTTGTTAACGGGTTAGCTGTTTCTCCGCATCCTCCCTCCTCCCTCCGCTGTGTGGGGATAGAATCATGTGTAGGCAGCAGTAAGGTTAGGCTGTAGTACCGCGAGTCAGCACAGGGGGCGCTCCGGGGTTTCAGCAGATAGAATCATGTGTAGTACGGCGAGTCAGCACAGGGGGCGCTCCGGGGTTTCAGCAGATAGAATCATGTGTAGTACGGCGAGTCAGCACAGGGGGCGCTCCGGGGTTTCAGCAGATAGAATCATGTGTAGTACCGCGAGTCAGCACAGAGGGCGCTCCGGGGTTTCAGCAGATAGAATCATGTGTAGTACCGCGAGTCAGCACAGGGGGCGCTCCGGGGTTTCAGCAGAGACTTTAGGTGCAACAGATTAAAGCTGATGTACCTGATTCTCAAACCACCTTGCTTTCACTTTGCTTCTATCACTAGGGGTCTTTCATACAAGGAGGCAGAATATAACATGATTTCTCACAAGATGAAGGCAGCGTGTCCACAATGTGTTTTTAAAAAGACTTTCTGTTATGACCATAGACATTATGTACCCCAGTTTAATTCAATAAGAATCTATATTTGTACATTTGATTTGATTTATTTATTTTAATAAAAGGTTGGGGCATTCATCTCTCTAAGATATTTAATAATAATGAGCAAAGTAAGAAAAAAAAATCTATTAACCAGATGTTGTGTTTTTTATTTTCATTTATAAAACAATTATCCCATCTAAGAAGCAGACATCTAGTATCCACTGGTACAATATGGGTTACACTTTAGAACCACAGAGTCGTACGACCGTTAGTGACCTGTTAGTGACCCGTTAGTGACCCGTTAGTGACCCGTTAGTGACCCGTTAGTGACCCGTTAGTGACCCGTTAGTGACCTGTTAGTGACCTGTTAGTGACCTGTTAGTGACCTGTTAGTACGCACTATGGTCTGATGAACACTTTAATTTTACTTGATAAATCTGTTATTTTCAAATCATGATGATCAGGCAGGACATTGTAAAATAAGATAGACTTAGACTTCAAACAGAATCAATACAAATACTATTATAGTAAAACGCATCAAATATAACTTTTGGAGCAACTGCCAAAAGCAACAAGTGTAAAGTGTAAACATAGAACACAATGTTTAGTTCAACAACTCGTTTCTAACCAAGTTTAGATAATTAACCTTTGTACAAACCAGACGTCAGAAAGCAACCCACTGCATATATGTTTTACAGCTGCATGAGTCTGTGGTCATTAATATAAAGTCGCAAAAACAGCAATTATTTACACTATTTGCAACAACAAAAAAGAGACAAAAGAAAAGCTTCAAATCACTTGAATTCATTTTGATTTGTTGAGGAAACACTACCCCCTTAATTCGCCGACTTCCCTTCTTTAAAACATCACTAATATTTGCTTAAAACTCAAACGGATTCTGTCTTTTAACCCTTTGGAGCGCGAACAAATAGCTGGACTCTTTTTGAAGCGTATGCTCTGTAGCTTTGGCCTCTGGAGACTCGTAATTAGAGTACATGAGTGTGAACAGTCTCTGCACAGGGAACGACTACGCTCCAAAGTCCGCCCACATTTCCCAAGCTTAAAATACAGGAGGTGTGTGAGGATTGGATCTGACAGTACATCACAGCTGAGGACATCCCATAACACCTGCCCTGCACAGTGATACTGACGCACACAACATGAACACAACAACATATAAAAACACACACATACACAGTAAACAAGTCCATATTTCTTTATTTGTTTTGATCTTTTAGAAATCCTTGTAAGTGGCAAATCATTCCTTTCCAAAGTCAATACCATGGACCACCCTTAAGACTTTAATGACGTACTGCACATTTATAAGAACGTTCTCAGATGAATCCTGGGATAAATCCTGCAGCTGTTGTTCGATGAATTGACCTTTTGAAGGAGTGAGATGGATTTGGACACAAACAAGGCCAAAGTACACGGATCAATAACTCATTACAGCAGCGTCCACCATCAGAGACGCCAACAGAGAGAGTAGAGCCGCTGGGAACCGTGTCGAGGAACAAATGCATTAAAATAGTTGCATTTTGCTTTTATAAACTACTTTCTATTATTTTAGATTATTTCTACTTTTCCTGCATCATCATCATCTTTACTCGTCTGTACAACATAATCTTTCCCTTTACAATACTTAATTCAGCAGAGTTTTGGTAAACAAGTCATATTTGAGCATAGACTGTAGAAAGGAGTGGACAGTACTGACGTTAAAGTCTTTGGGCTTTTCCAGAAGATTCAGCAACAGGCTCCACGGGCGTGAATTTAGGGGCAAATTTGGGGCAACTACCTAAGAGCCGGACGGATGGAGCCGAGTGTGGGGACAGTAGGCACCGGATTGGTCATTTATAAATGGTTTATCTCTGGTTTACAAAGACAATGTCACAATAAAAAACAGCAGGATCATAAAGAGTCTTGTCCATTCCTTTATGCAGCTCATGCTTTTGACACAAAAATAGAATCTATCAATAAATACTGAAAATATCAAGTTAATTTGACCTAAACATGTGGCAGCAGCAGAGGGTTAACTCTGAGCTTCTCTGATGAGCAGCGACAGTCTCCTGAACGCCTGCAAGACACAGTTACAATTATTCAGAATACATTTAGACTCCAAGAGCAACGTTCTAATTCATGGCTATGGAGCGATATTATCTGAAGGACAACAATATACTGTAGGAATATATTCAGAACCTATTACTTTAAAGCATAGGTGTCAAGGTCAAGGCCCGGGGGCCAGATCCGGCCCGTGAATGAATTATCATGGCCCCCGTGATGATATTTGATTAGTGTTAGAACTGACCCGCACATACGATAATGTTCAGGACATGTGCTTTCTCTTCGAAGGACGTTTTTTTGTCTATGAGCTTTTTGAAAAATTACTGAACACAGCCTTTCAAAATATTGGATTAAAAATTGAATTAAATAAAATACGGTACAATTTGTTAGGTCTTTTTTTTTGTGGTCATTTTGATATGTTTAAAAAAAAGCCACTGAACTAGTCCGCCCCTTGGTCCCCCCCCCCCCGAATTAGTTTTTTGGCCCTCTGATGTATTTTACTTTGACATCCCGACTATAAGCGATGACACAGCCTTGTTCTTTCCCGACTGAAGGATCAAGGCTTTGTCCTCGCTGGATCAGAGCCATCTTCCTGTGGACACCTCCTGCAGAGGATCAGAGGGACTGGTGCTGTGGGCATAAGGTGGCAGCTCCCCCCTCCCCCCTCCAACTATAGAGCCAGAGCTCTAAATATATGATATATTTCTTGCGCTAGAATATTCAGTATAAAGTCTTCATGCTAAAGATAAATCATTTATACTAGCTATCTTTTTATGCTAAAGTTTTAGTATGCTTTAAGTTTATTTATTATTATTTTAAATAGAGTTCATTTACATTGTGATGTGTGCTCCTCATTCCTACTGTTTTGTATATAGTGACGCAACACTGAAATTTCCCCACTGTGGGACGAATAAAGGATTTCTTAATATTAATCTTATTTAGTGTTTTTTCTTTTTACTTTATCTTTGCCTTTATTAAAGTTACAGTGACTTTCTTGACTTTGTACCTCGTCCATTTTCTCTGGAGACGAGAGCGAGAACGCAGCTCTGACGTAAGGACACGGTTCACTGCTGTCGATCATGAAAACACCTCCAGGAACCAGCAGCACCTTCAGCAGAGAGCATTATTTATTATTATTATTACAGGAAGCACAGGGACAGGGTCATAACAATAGAACCTCCTCTGAACCTGCAGGACCATTGTTTATAATGAAACAAGCCATAATGTTGGCCCCAGAGAATAACTCAGTCCTCAGTCCTCAGGCCTCAGTCCTCAGGCCTCAGTCCTCAGGCCTCAGTCCTCAGGCCTCAGTCCTCAGGCCTCAGTCCTCAGTCCTCAGTCCTCAGGCCTCAGGCCTCAGGCCTCAGGCCTCAGGCCTCAGTCCTCAGTCCTCAGGCCTCAGGCCTCAGGCCTCAGGCCTCAGGCCTCAGGCCTCAGGCCTCAGTCCTCAGTCCTCAGTCCTCAGGCCTCAGTCCTCAGGCCTCAGGCCTCAGGCCTCAGGCCTCAGTCCTCAGTCCTCAGTCCTCAGTCCTCAGTCCTCAGTCCTCAGTCCTCAGTCCTCAGTCCTGAGTCCGAGTCCAGCAGAGTGAGCAGATGGACTGAACTTTCTCCAAATAGTGAAGTGAAAGAGAAAATAGACTTTATTGATCTCACAATGAGAAATATAAATGTCACGTTTGGCAAAGATAGAATCACTCAGATTGTGTGCAACATGTTAAGGGTAAAAATAAAGTCTGTGCAGGATAAATAAAGTCTGATTCCATTTCATATCTGGTTGTTTCTGTGTTAGCTGTGGTTTAAATCTTGTTTGAGTCTGATAGTTATTTAAATCTGGCATATTTACATGATTAATGTACACTGTCCCATACAAATAAAATAAAAAGCAATAAATACGTTTTGTGTTTTTAAAAGATAGCATGAAACCTTAAGTCCCAGAACATTTGGAATCCTGAATCCCTCGTCCCTCTTTGGTTGAGAAGCACTGGTCTAGTTTAGACTTTAATGAAATAGTAATGATTTATAAAATAATCAGATTAAAAATGAAATCATCAGGATTCTGAACCGGAGAGACTAAAGTTTTACTGATGCTGTTCAAAAGCCCTTAGACCCAACACTGCTGTGATCTCTGTCTGTATCACACACAGTTCATTCATTTCTCAGAGATTGTGACACTGATGCAGAGTACGTTTCCCATGAAGATTTTCTGTTGAGGATTAAACTCTTATCTTTCACCCACTCTTGTTTTCAGGGATTTTCAGACTCTAAACCCACTCAGCTGTAATGACAAGCTCACACTGTTCCTTTGGCTTTACTCACACAAGACGGACAGAAACACAACATTATTAATGCAGTCAAATGTTCTCAGTGATTAGCTTTTTAACACCTCCTTATACTTTAGTACGAGGGAACGTTATCAGTGCAGTAAAATGTCTTATCCATCACAAGGCCAAATATAAAAATTATAACAGTCTTTCAGCAGATTTGATAATGGTGCAAATGCAATACCCAAGGAAAAAATATTGTTCTAGCTATTATCAAACCTGGAAACTTTATTTTTGTGCATGAAAAACATTATCTTTGTCCCAACAGAGAGAGTTTTGTCAAAGTAACATTTTGTGAACAACTCGGAGAGAAAGAGTCCCATGAGTCACTGTTTGGCTGAGAGCTGAGGCCAAAAACCATGCAAGTGTGAGCTTGTAAGAGATATTTGTTTGTGGTGTACAAGTTAGACACACATCTTTAATTGAGTTGTAAATAAGATTGGGGATCCATGTATAAACCTGTAGTGAATATTGGAACCACGCAGCTGTCACTTTTGTGTTTGTACCTCTTTCTCCAGAGCTTTCTCTTGGATCAGTTGTTGAGTGTCAGTGATTCCCTTTAGTTTGATCCACAGGAACATCCCCGCCTTCGGGGCGTGCCACTCCGCCACATCTGTGCACAACAACAGCTTAAATGAGGATTATGGACTGAACAGCAGCTGAACCTGAATTTACACGCTACGGCCACAAGAGGGCGGCAGAGTCAACTATATCGGTAAATGATTCATAAAAATAAAAGAGATCGGGTCAAAAAATAGGTTAATCTTTCCACATGAAACACAGAACTTTATCCAAAATGTTTCCTTATTTTACCAATAATGTGTCTTTCATTCTTGTTGACAATATAAAAGAATGAATAATGTGATACTAACAACTTTCTAATGAGCTCTCTGATCAAGTGTGTTATTTCATACTGTATGTGTGTATGGAGTAATAACGACATGTAAAGCGTCTTTGACTGTCCAAAAAAGCACTATATAAAACCGATGCATTATTATTATTATTATACTGTGAAAGTGTTATTTCCATGTATTTTTTAAAAATAAAACACACTTTTATATTAGTACATTTTTGGGCAAAAAAATTCTCAAAAAAATTACTTGCTTAAACTAGGATTCCAGTTTTTAGGCCAGATCTGACAGTGATGGATGAATACTTATGAAACGTGTTGTTTTTGCACAAACCTTTGAGCCACTTCTCTGCAGAGCCGAGCATGGCGTCTCGCTGCTCTCTGTAAAACTCTATGACCCTGAGGACGGTCGTGAAATATAAAAACAACACCTGTTAAGGTTCATCCCTTTATCTTTCAATAAACTTGTTTGTAAAAAAGAAAATGAGAGTGGACTTACCCCTGGATGTGCTGCAGGAAACCCTGTTCTCCCCAACTGTGCAGCAACTGGGAAACCATCAACTGAAGCAGAGAAGCCCACGTCACGGATGAACGCATGAACGCATGAACGTATGAACGCATGAACGTATGAACGCATAAACGCATGAACGCATAAACGCATAAACGTATGAACGCATGAACGTATGAACGCATAAACGCATGAACGCATAAACGCATAAACGTATGAACGCATGAACGCATGAACGCATAAACGCATAAACGCATAAACGCATATGAACGCATGAACGTATGAACGTATGAACGTATGAACGTATGGACGTATGAACGCATGAACGCATGAACGCATAAACGTATGAACGCATGAACGTATGAGCGTGTAAACGCATGAACGCATAAACGTATGAACGCATGAACATATGAGCGTGTAAACGTATGAACGCATGAACGTATGAGCGTATGAACGCATGAGCGTATGAACGCATGAACGTATGAATGCATGAACGTATGAATGCATGAATGCATGAACGTATGAACGCATGAACGTATGAACGCATGAACGCATGAGCGCATGAGCGTATGAGCGTGTGAACGTATGAACGTATGAGAGTAAGAACGTATGAGCGTATGAACGTATGAACGCATGAGCGTATGAATGCATGAACGTATGAGCGCATGAGCGTATAAGAGCATGAACGTATGAACGTATGAGCGTATGAACGTATTAGCGTATGAACGCATGAGCGTATGAACGCATGAACGTATGAATGCATGAACGTATGAGCGTATGAACGTATTAGCGTATGAACGTATGAGCGTATGAACGCATGAGCGTATGAACGCATGAACGTATGAACGCATGAACGTATGAACGTATGAATGCATGAACGTATGAACACATGAACGTATGAACGCATGAACGTATGAGCGCATGAGCGTATGAGCGTGTGAACGTATGAACGCATGAACGTATGAGAGTAAGAACGTATGAACGTATGAGCGTATGAGCGTGTGAATGTATGAACGTATGAACGTATGAGCGTATGAGTGCATGAACGTATGAACGCATGAACGTATGAGCGTATGAACGTATGAACGCATGAACGTATGAGCGTATGAGCGCATGAACGTATGAACGCATGAACGTATGAGCGTATGAACGTATGAACGTATGAGCGTATAAGAGCATGAGCGTATGAACGCATGAACGATAATGACATACGTACTGTACGTAGGAGACAATATTTCATTGTGTAGTTTTAATTGTGTCTCATGTGACAATAAATCCCGTACACTATTTATCCAAAACTGTAAATAACAAATATCTTCAGTTTTACTTAATTAAACATGACCAACATAGTTTTGAGAGTGAGGATCCCAAACATTATTTTCTACAAAAATTGTCAGATTTTTATTCAAAGAAAAGGCACAAAAGTGAAAACTGCATGATGCCCATGATGTGACGGCTGGAGAGCTTTTCATATATTTATCCACTAAGATTTCCCGCTTTTTATTTTATATGGTGCTTTTATTCCATTTATGAACTTAAAGATAAGATAAGATGTGCTTTATTTATCTCACAGAGGAGAAATGTACATGTCACATTTGTCATGGATAGAACACTCAGATTGTGCAAAAGGAGGAAATGTGCAAACATGTTACATGCAGGATATATAGTAGTAGTAGTAGTAGTAGTAATCTTTATTTATATACCGCCTTTTCACTGCACATCGGAGTCTCAAAGCGGTTTACAATTGTTATTTTTGGGGTTGGGGGTGCCAGTACAGGAGGCACATGCCAGACCTATTGTACATATTTTTAGTGGTAGGGGAAACCGGAGCACCCGGAGGAAACCTACGCAGACACGGGGAGAACATGCAAACTCCACTCAGAAAGGCCCTGGTCCAACCGGGATTCGAACCCAGGACCTTCTTGCTGAGAGGCGAGAGTGCTATCCACTCAGCCACCGTGCCGAGTGGATAGCACATATATGTACAACAAAAGTGACAAGTGTCAATTGGAAACAGTGTCAATAGTAGTGCAGGTTTTCACACAGTGATCATTTAAAGTGATTATTGTTTAAAGGTATAAAAGGAGGATTTTCACAAAGTTTAGGAAAGAACCAAAACTCTCTGGTCTTATTTGTTGAGCCTGGAATGATTGACAATTGGGAGGACCAAAGGTTTTGACGATCCCCCGGAAGTAGAAAATAAAAGTATTGGGTTCTTTTATCAATAATATAATATAAGGCTGTGTGACGTCAAAACAGTATCTGTTGAAACATGTCGAGGCACTAGCATCACAACCTTATACTGTCTGGTATAAAAGAAGCCAATACTTTTAGCAGAAAATCCTCCAATGCACCTTTAAGTGAGTGACTTTTCCCGAAAGTGAAGCTTCTAGTTCTTCACACTTCAGGCTTCACTATGTGCACAGTCTCTATGAGCTATGTCCTGCTTTCATTTGTTTGGATCTGATGGATTATTAGTCATTTGTTCAACTTCTAACAATAGTGATCTAATAAAATTGCACTTCTACATAATTATAATGTGGTCTAGTTTTGGTGGAATCGGTCACCTGTGTGAAGGAGCTGGTGTGCATCGTGGAGGCCTGGATGTGCAGCACCACTCTCTCCACCAAAGGCTTTGGACCAGTGACAAAACCGAGTCTCAACCTGAAACGTATAAATGTCTGGTTCAATAGTTGATCCAAACCAGTTTGTTTCCAGCTGCTGGAGAGAACAGAGAAGGGTGTAACTCGTGTAATTAATCTATAATCACAACATCACAGAGGATCAGAGCGTTAGAATCCGGAACTGTCTGAACTTCAGATATCACTAAAATAACATGATGGATTCTTCAATTCTACTCTAAAGGATAATCGTATATTCCATATATACATGTTTTACAGAAATATGTTTATTTCCATTGTATGTCACAAACTAGGCATTTGCTTTGGCTCACGGTGCAAACAAGTTATACAAGTAAAAAGAGATATAAGATATAAAAACACAAAAGACTATTTTGACTACAAATATGCGGAAGCTTAAGTGGAAGTGTTTGGGCGTGGTTTTGTCTCCGCTTTAACACAGTGTAGAATACAGAGACTGAGAGACGGAGACTGGAGAGAGGAGGAAGAACAGGAACAGTGGTTTGTGAAGTCCTAAAGATTACTGCTGTTGTGATATTGTACATACATTGATTTAATTCAGAGCCCACAAAGCCACCCAGCTCTGGACTGGATCAGAGGGAAAGGAGCTGCAGAGGGTCACTGCGCTGATGGACAGGAAACTTCTGACTCACTGCCCTCGTAAGGCCATTTCAGTGACCTTTATAAAGCCACTTTACCGCTGTCCCCTTTCTGCACGACTGCACTGCGCAGCTTACTGCATATTGTGTGCACCAGGTGCACTTGTATACTGTATATAGTAAATTTAATTATTTTTATTTTTATACCTTAGAAGTGTATGCTGATTCTATTCTCTACCTTTCTTCCTTGACTGTTGCACCGAGAGGCAAAGAAATGTCCTAGTGTGTGACTTCTTGTTACTCACATGGCAATGATTCTGATTCTGATTCTACCGTGGGATCGACCGTCAAAAGTATTGAAAACACTATAGTCAAAATATAAGACAAGACAAAATGAGGCATTTCATGAATACGTTTAGGACGATGATTAGAACTACGGTAGTAAAGTCATAAAAAAAATACGTGACAGTATCAGGACCATCCTTTAAACTTGCAGATAATTTGATTCTCCAACAGACGGTGTTCTCTGTACTTGATCAATGCCACTGACCCAACACTCTTTATGAAGAGGCCAAAGCGGAGGTTCAGACCAGAAGACGATACATACATGACCTCATTGCTCACTCAGGTTAGTGAGTGTTCATATCGTGCAGCAACCCTCCTCCTCCCCATCATCAGCCCGACCATCCTTCTGGCTCTTCTCCTGAGCTACCACACTGTCTGCTGATTCTTTCAAGATTCAAATCGCTAAAATAAGCAACTTTAGAAACAAACTCATACAAAATAAACAATAAAACAGGGTTGATGTTTAGCACTCACCCCGAGGAAAGAATTTTGGAAAAGGAGTCGGTCCGAATGACTCTGCCGTCGACGTCCATGGAGAGGAAAGTGGGGGCCCAGGGCTGTACGCAAAGAGGAATTCATTTAAGACAAATGTAGACAAATGTGGCTTTTGGATAATTATTAGTGACATTCTACCTTTTCAAACTGTAGGAAATAGTAAGGGTCGTCTTCAATGATGAGCATGTCGTACTGTTGGGCCAGCTGCAATGACAAATGATTATTAAACTTAATTATTGATTTGGATTTACATTTGGGATACAATACATGATGCATGGCTCACAGTCCAATAATAAACACAGAATGGACCCCAGGGAGACTAGTGACCTCTTGAGGAAACTAGTGAAATACTCAGAAATAAAACTGTGACTGACTTTTTAGGGAGTTTTTTCAATTTGACTAATATTATACACAGACACTGTCATTCCGGAAGCTTCTCCTGTTTGCTCGCAGTATAGTGCTGAAGCTGCTGAATCTCTTTCATTGATCATTGGGTTCTTCGTCATCCCCCTGAATAAGTAAGTAATGTTTATTTATATAGCACATGTTACAGACCAAGGTACAGACCCAGAGCACTTTCCAATGTTCAGAGTCAGATATTGTTCCAGTCCTTCCACACACGGTGATGACAGAAGCGAGTCCAGAACACACTGGACCATCAAAGCCTCTGACCCAACACCATCCATTCACTCTCTCATTTACATTCAGACCTATTGTGCATGGTTTTAGTGATAGGGGAAACCGGAGCACCTGGAGGAAACCTGCGCAGACACGGGGAGAACATGCAAACTCCACTCAGAAAGGCCCTGTTCTGACCGGGGAAAAGTCCTGCTGGTTTTGAGCTTCTTGAGTGCTCTTCTGGACCTAAACACGACTCCAATGTTTGTGAATCCTTCCCCAGATCTCTGCCTCGTTATTATTCTGTCTGAATGTCTCCAGACACTGAGACCTCATGGTTTCTGCTCTGACCGTTGTTAGCAGTCGATAGAGGTGTGTCCCTTTGCAATTCAAGTTAAACCAGTCAAATTAATCACAGCTGTGCTCCAGGAAATTGTAGAATCAACCTCTCACATAAAATACCTGAGGACAAAAGTTAAATGTGGAGGAAATATAGTCACTTTCTGAACACATATCTGTTCTCTTATTCTATCATTGGGAAACAAATCATGCATGTAATTTCCACTATAAACATCATTATAATTCACTGTTCATTGATTCAAAATAACCTAAACTGCCGGACTATATTAACTTTAAAACTGCTAAAATAAGTATCTGTAAATTCTCTGCGCCTCATGTACAAAACTTATTCCATGACAGAGATGCTCACAGATACTTTAAGATCAAAGTGTGTCTCAGAGCAGTGAGATGTTCTGAGGAGGTGTTTGGAGCAGAGAGTGATTCCCCGAGGCCAGAGCGAGTGACGGGAGAGAGGTGTAGGGTCAGAGAGTGTTTTGGCTTTTGTCTTCAGTGAGTGAGTGACTGTATGGTCTTGTTCTGGTATTGTATTGGATTGTGTCTTGTGTGGAAAGGGTGGGAGGAGATTTGGGTAAAATAAACGTCTGCTTCAACCACCATCTTTGATATTTCTAATATTGTCCGTAGTTTAATCTGAAAAATCTGAGCAGCGCAGTGGCAGAGTAGTTAGCACTCTCACTTCTCAGCAAGAAGGGTTCGAACCCCAGTGTATGATCAGTGTACTACAGCAACCACTGTCATTGGGTGGGATGGGTCAAATGCAGAGGACAAATTGACCTACGGGATAAATATAAATGTACATAAACCTTAACAATTTCAAATTGTTAAGGTTTATGTACATTTAGGCTCTTTGGAATTGTGTGATGTCACATGTAACCTTTTATACCTTTTATTGTTCATTGATTTTGTATTGTTTGCACCTCATTCCTCTGTAACCGGTGATGCAACACTGAAATTCTCCACTATGGGACTTTAAGCAATACTAGCTTTTGTTAGACACGTCTTTAAGAATAACTCAGGTCTGTGGAGGCACAAGAGCCGTAACGTAAGAGGCTTTATTCCAATAATGGTGGAGTTTCTGAGTGACCTGGTAGACGTCCCTCTTGCGCTGCTCGTTCATGGAGGCTCCGGTCGGGTTGCCTCCGTTGGGGATGGTGTACAGGACCTTGGGACGGGAGCTTTCAGACGGACTCCAGCGGGACAACACCTGCCTCAGCGCCGCGGGGTCCATCCCATGTTCATCACTGGAGACATTGATGAGGTTACAACCCATCGGCTGCAGCTGGAGACGGAGGAACAGTTGGATAATCCCCTGTTCTCTAACATTCATTATTTAAATTTTTGGGGTGGCCTATAGTCTTCTTACTTTATATCTAGACTGGAGTAGAAGTAAAAGTCAGGAAATATATTAGGAAAATAGAGTTCTTACCGCGGCTAAAGTCCCAGAGTAGGTTGGGGCGTCAAGTAAAACATTGTCTCCAGGATTCACCAACATCTCAAACACCTTCAAGAAAAACACAACAGGATAATAAAATAGTTTAGTTGAAATAGAGCGGCTAAATCCAACACACACACGTTATTGAGTTATTGAAATATAGACTTAAGAAATGTGGGAAGCAAGTCAAAAACACAAACCAGCAGGTTCATATACGGATTCACAAAGGGGATAGCACAACGCTGAACCATGGATTTTAAGCCCAAATTGGTGAGAGTGACACAAACGGTTACTAAGCAAGAGGAGTTTACTTTTTAATATAAGTCAGTAGAAGCTAGAGCGAAAACTTCCTCCATGAGCACCTTCCTATTGGACCTAAGGGGTTAGAATTGTCCATATACAGTCTTGCTTGTACTTTGACCATCTACATTTCATACTGTGGAACGTTCCAGGCAAAACAAAAACATTAAATGTCTTTGTGAGCTAATATCCCAAAGAACAGTTATACCTTTACTTAATCATTCTACCTTGCACAGGCCTTCTTGGCTGCCGGTGGTCACGCACATGTCTGTGTGAGGGTTGGGAGGATTGTGAAGACTTTTCTGTAAATCTTTCATCCACGTCAGCAGCTCTGGGATCCTGTAAGATATGTTAAAAACCTCCAGGGTTATCTTCTTAAACAAACAATGGAGCAAACAGCTCTATGAAGTAAAGTGAGAGAAGAGGACGTTACTGGGAGATAATGGCTGATAAGATAAAGATCAACCTAACAATATGACAGCGGAGCAAAACTAAACCTTTGTCTTGAATACGCCCTTATTTCACTCTATTTAGTTGTCAATTTTATCACTTTTAAATTTCTGTGCTTCAACTCCTTCTCAGGATTATATCACAAAATGTAAGATTCTTTAAGCTTCAAATCTTCCTGACCTGCTCTTGTTAGGTTTATCCATGATTGTGTATTTACACTTTGCAATTTCTACATAAAGTTTACACACAATTTAATGTCTTCATACGTTTCATCAAATATCACTTCTGATCATAACCAAGAGTTACACGGCAGCGGTGGGATGGAATTTTACAGAATAACTTGTTAAAGTATATACCCATTTGTAAAAACCAGTAATGTTTGTTTTTTTAATGGTTTTTATGTGGTGAGTGTGTGAGACAGTGTGTATGTGTTTTTGAATGTAGGATGTTTAAAACACATGTTTCAGATTGTGTTTGAGCTTTTTCCTACATATACTAATTATTGAAAAGTCAAACAGGGAGTTGAGAATTAGCATTAACTTTAACTCTGCATGTTGCATCTTTTGCTGAATAACAATATTATGTAAAACTTAACCTTAGACTGGCTCACCCATTGGAGGCGGAGTATTGCAGAGCTCTCTTCATCGATGTCTCGTCAAAGGTCACGGTCGGACCATTTCTGACCTGTATCGATGCGGACAGAAAGGGGAAGGTGTTGGGGTTTGGGGCTCCGCCGGCCAAAGAGATCAGAGACGGAGGCGACCGCTGCTGCAACTCGGCTGCAAAAACACATGTCGCATTATCATTTGAATCATTCTTGTTTTACAAAGCCATTTGGGTATTTTGGTATTGCTTGTGTATGAAGTGTGCTTGTGTACATTTGGGGTTATTTGTGAATAAGTGAAATGCTGGTAAACATTTTAAAAAACAGATGTAAATATTATGGATGTACAGCTACAAAGGTAATTTGTATCCACAGTGAGTGGCCAGCATTATGTTTGTGACTGGTCTGACTTTTGCCATTGTTTGATGTGCGTTTGAAGTTAACACATTGACTGCCAGCCGTTTTTGATGATTTCACTGATTGTCAAGGCCCACAGAATATCATGGGCTATGACTATGTGGAAGTTTGAAACCAGATTCTGAAAGACTGGATTGTCTACTTTCATCAGCAAAAACAAGTTGGTTTCTAGCAATTTTTTGTCTTCTTTAATCCCCAGTCGAATAGAGGGAAGTTTCTCAGGACATTCCGTCAATGGCAGTCAATGAGTTAAGATAAGATAAGATATACTATATTAGATAAGATATACTATACTCTCACACAGGAGAAATTTACAACAAGTTGAGCATTCTGAGGTAAGTGCAGCTTTTCTTCTCATTTTAGTTCCCTTCACTTGTCCATATAAATCTTAAACCACATGTGAATACTTTTGCAAGAAGCCCCAAGTGCAGCAAGACCAAACAGCACATGAAGAGCAGGGAATCGTTTGAAACAATTCGCCACATTATAAAAAAGAAAGCTCAAGGATGTGGCAAAAAGCATTTTACAAACATCTTACATCTTTAAACTGAATGAGTAGTTTTGAAAACTCTACTGATGATCAGAACAGAGTTACACATTGACTTAGCTTAGTTATAAACTTACTGAGTATCCTGATTGGTGAGGGTTTTCTGGCTGCACTGACAGCTGTCAGAAAACGGGCGTAATTCATCTTTTCACCTGAAAAATACATTATAAAGTTTAACACAATTTGCAAAATTAGGAAAGAGGACTTTTGGTGAGTGAACAGCACCCACTGTGTATATTTAGCGTGTCTTCGTTGTATTAGCGAGTGTTACTAATTAACATAAATAGTCTATGGTTTAACTATTTGTGCTGCTCTCCGCGTGACCATCAGCGGCAGTATTATTATCACAATACTCACATTAACAGGCTGTGTAACTGACCTTCTGCTTCTCTCTCCCGGTGGATTGTGGTCAATGTATTTTAATGCTTCAGTCTGTCCAGTGCGGTCAACACGAGGGGACTACATTTCCCAGGTTAGTGCGAGTTGTCATTTCATTTTGTCCTCTAGAGGGCAGTCAACCTGTTGTCGTTTTGTTTAATGTTGTCATAATGTATTTTTGTAATATTTGTATAAAAGTACACAAATTATAAATCAGAGCATTTTAATACAAACAAATGTACAAAATTCTAATTAAAATAAAACACCCGGAAGTGTAGATTTAGAAACCGCTAGCGAACTTCCGGGGTGTCCGGGGCAGAGTTCAGCTTGGAGATAAACATTCATAAATCATTCAATAACATCGCTAATATCAACCGTTTCCGTCATGGTTTGTCTTCAGGTCATTTGCAGCTAATATGTTCCTCTGCTGCTGTGATGCAGGCCGGAATGTTATTGTACATTTAAAACGTATATTTATGTTGTGGTGCTAACAAGCTAGCCATCTGCTTTCTGCTCTAGCTAATCTAATCCGTTACATGTTCAAAAGAAAAGGAAACATGATTGTAATTCACAGTATTTCAGTATTTTAGATTTTTCACGTAATCGCTTCCAATGGGCAAAAGAAAAGATATGATTCATCCCAGGTTCCCCAGTAAGTATTGAATGAGTTTGCAACATTATTAAAGATTAAGAGAAAGATATCCTTTAGTCGTTCCACAGTAAGGACATTTTAGATCCTCTTTTATGATCAGCTTTTCACGTTATTTACGTTAACAGAAATAAACTGCTTGACGTCAATTGTTTTATAAAGGGATAATGTTCCTGTTAACGTAGTTGGAAGTTAAAGAGCCTGGGCTTGTTTATGTACCACTAAAATAAAAGCTGGTTGTAGCATTTAAACATTAGTAAATGCTGATGATATGGACATTTGTTTAACAGTTATATAAAGAGTAATGTGTGACTGTTTAGATGCTTCAAAGCTTGTGATCAGTTTCTGTTTATCTTTAATAAATGTTAAGTAATAGTTGTTTTGTCTGTTTGCAGGTGAGGGCAGCTCCTCTCTACACAATGTCCATAAACACAAACACAAACATAAAAAACAGAAGAAGCACAAAAAGAAGCATCACAGTTTCCCAGAGATCCCTGAACCTGTGCCCATTCCTCCTCCTCGGCCTCCGCCACAGCTGCGACTCAAAATCAAACTGGGTGGACAAACGCTCGGGACTAAAAGGTGCGTTACGCTCATGGATCTATAATAATAACGATTTCGCCAATACAGGGAGAAAATATCTCCTCAGAATCTACTGTTTTAAGGAAACCTATAAACTGAATGTTAGTACCATTTTAATTGTGAAGAGGATTTTTTCTAAAGTAAACACCAGTTAGAGCTTCCCATTCTCTCACCAACTGCTTCATAATGATATGATTTAAAATTCAATTAAAATCAAATACATTTACATGATTCACATAAATGGCCCATCTTTTCTCCAGATGTTTATGCCAAGAAACAGGACTGGTATTAAATATAGTTTTTGAAAAATACTTTCTCAGAATTTTCTTTATTGCCATTAAGAGTAACAGGAAGTCACAAACTAAGAAATTGCTTTATTTTAGTGATATACAGTGGAAGTTGCAGACATCACCTTTAATAATTTCAAGGCAAAAATATAATTGAAATGTAACAATAACAAAAGTCCTTCATTTGAATTTTTGCGGTCTTCTTATTTACCACAAATTAGTGGGAATTTAAAAAATCTATGGGATATAAAACTGGATCAAGTATGAATAATTCCAGAACTGATTTTGTATCTGACTATACAGAGAAGGCTTGCACTGCTCACGTTTCTTTAAAAAAAAAAATTGCTTTATCTGAATGCTGTTTTGGTCGGTGCGAAGTTACAAGAATACTTGTACTTAAGAGCTTATAAAGTTTCACAGTGGATACACATGTATACCGTAGTATTATCAGTTCGTGTTGTATTTTCCTTCCACACCTCGAAGGCCAATATGAAAATGTTGAATTAAACCACATACAAAGTTTGGGGCTGCGGATTGACTGGACTCCATACTTTAACATTCAGACAAAGTGGACAATGTTTTCAGATTGCACTTAAACTGTTGTAATCCATTATGACATTCTTTCTCGACAGTGTTCCTACTTTCACAGTCCATCCTGGAGTGGCACGTCCTCCATCTCCTCTGATGATCATAGATAACAACAGTGACAGCGATGATGATGATGATGATGATGATGAGGAGCCCTCGGTGCCTCTGGAGCAGTACCGAGCCTGGCTGGGTATGAACTTTACGACTGTCACTTTTTAGATCGTTGTTATTAATAGAACAAATATAAAATGTTTGAGAGTTTGTCGGTTTCTCTATATTAGTGCACACTCTTTGATATTAATATAAGTATGTCTCTCTCAGATGAGGACAGTAACATGGCCTCGTCCCCGATGCCCAGCGTGGACTCAGACTCTCCTTTGCCTTTAGACGAGGAGGAGCGATGGCTCGACGCTCTGGAGAAAGGAGAGTTGGACGACAACGGAGACTTGAAGAAAGAAGTGGACGAGTCGCTGCTCACGGCCAGACAGGTGCAGCTTCAGAGTTTCAATGGTTCTAATGCGATTATTATCAGCTCAAAAAGACTATGTCAGAATAAAAGTGTTATGTTTGACTTAACTTGGGTGGCACGGTGGCTGAGTGGATAGCACTCTCGCCTCTCAGCAAGAAGGTCCTGGGTTCGAATCCCGGTTGGACCAGGGCCTTTCTGAGTGGAGTTTGCATGTTCTCCCCGTGTCTGCGTAGGTTTCCTCCGGGTGCTCCGGTTTCCCCTACCACTAAAAATATGTACAATAGGTCTGGCATGTGCCTCCTGTACTGGCCCCCCACCCAACAATTGTAAACCGCTTTGAGACTCCGATGTGCAGTGAAAAGGCGGTATATAAATAAAGCTTACTTACTAAAGCTTACTACTTAAATGTTTTGCATTTACAATATAGAAGCCGTTTCTCTTCTTTGTTTTCTCGTTTGTGTAGATCAAAAGCTGGGATACCTACTGTTTTTGTTTCATATGAGAATACACTTTCTTTGTCCCAACAGAAAGTCTGGTAAAAATGAACAAAGAAGTGTTTAGACCAGACCATAAATGTCTTAAACTTCAGAATACTTAAAGAAAGATCCCTGTGAGTCACTATTTGGTTCTTTGGGGAGTGAGGGATGTACTGTTCTTCAAAATCTTCTGTCTGAAAAAGCTGATCTAATGTGACACAGGCCAAAAAACAAAGAACTTGTTGTTAAATGCTATTACCTAGATTACATTTTGTAACTAGAAAAAAGTTAGGTACCTGAGCTTTAAGAGGAATTATGGAGAGAGAATGTACCGGTCGCAGAGTAAGTTATCTGTATAGTTGTACACTGTTGAACTGAGCAGAGGTTAGTGTTGCACACCAGGAGGAACAGGAGCTGGGTGGTTAAGGCTCTTTAACAGGTTTCTGGAGACTGCGTTTTGATATGACACATTCCACCGTCTCCTGGCATGTGTTCCAGAGTTGGAACACATTCAATTGGTATTAATTTTAACAGTACGTTTAATTTTAGCAGTCCTAAATTTTTACCACAACTTTAAAAGTTTACATTTGTGCCTTCCAGAAAGCATTGCTCCACAAGCAGCAGATCCAGCCCCTCCTGGAGCTGCCCATGGGCTACAAGGAGAAGGAGATGACCGCGGAGATGATGCAGAAACGTGAAGAGCGGGCACGGAAAAGACGTTTGCAGGCGCAGAAAAAAGCGGAGGACAGCAAAAACCAAACCATCGAGAGACTCACCAAAACCAGCAAGGCCAAGATCAAGAGCATGAGGGAGCGCAAGTCCAAGCAGAACCAATGTCCCATGGTCAGATACACGGACACGAAGGAGGGAGTGGCCATTTCTTTCCCTGCTGGGGTACAGGCGCCTTGTCCGGTCCCACCCAGAGCCCACCTGCCCCGGCCTGTGCAGTGTGGGGTGAGTGGCTGTGAGAATGTGAAGAAGTATGCCTGCTCCAAGACTGGGGTCCCCCTCTGCAGCCTGGAGTGCTACAAGAGGAACATGCTGCTGCAACGTCCAGCCTAAGTTTATACAGTCAGAATGCAGCCTCAGGAGACATTTAGGATTATACACATAAATCTGGCCCCATATATGGTTAGAATCAACGACAAACGCGGACTTTCCGTTAACGCAATGTCATCACTACAGAGTGCTGACAAAGAAGCAGTTCTGGATCCGTTTTGTTCATTTCTGACGAAATGCCTACGTTATGCCATATTGTGCGTGTATGAATAAACACAATCACCAGAGCGACGGTTCTTTGAATCCAGGTGAATTATGGGAAAATGTTGAAATCACTGAAAGTCCACTGATTTGTGTGGACAAAGAATAACAATCATAACATTATTTAAAAAGGCCAATACACCAACTACAATAGTGTAAATGCAAGTGTGAATAAACATTTGTTTGTGTCCGAAACAAATGGAAAGAAAAGCTGTCATTTAGTTTAACACAATAGTTTTACCTTCTGAACAATATGGAGAAACATGAATACCACTGTCAACTAAATAATGTTTTGTATTTTGACAGTATTTTTGTTAGAAAGGACATGAACAATATTTTCCTGGATTGTTTATTGATCATGTGTAATAAATGCATTAACACACATTGATGCTTTTGTCATAACTGTATAAAAAATGAAATTATAAAAGTACAAACAGGAGAAATGCCATTAATAATCACATTATATTAAATTAAGTCTCACTACAGAATTGAGCTTATTTATCATAGTGTCATTTTAGCACCGTATGGAACGTTGTGTTTTATTTTAAATGCTGGCAGTTTTTTTTAAACTGTCCTCTATGTGCAAAACCATTATATTTTTAAGTAGCACTTAAGTTGAAATGTGGTATTTCTGAGGGCAAAACTGGAACACACTGAATGTAAGCAAAACTGGAACACACTGAATGTAAGCAAAACTGGAACACACTGAATGTAAGCAAAACTGGAACACACTGCTTACATTCAGTGTAACTCTTTTCCTTATCCACTTTTGAATTTTTAAGGAGTCAGTGAAATGTGCTTTCTCCATCCATCCATTTTTCTTTCCTGTTCCCAGGCCAGTCCCTCCAACATGTCCTGGGTCCTCTCTGGGGCCAGGTGGGACATCTCAGGAGGCGTCCAGGGGGGCTTCCACAACAGAAGCAGCAGCTCTACCCCGAGCTCCCATGTAGCTGAACTCCCCTCCCCATTTCGACCGTCATTACCCAAAGCACATGACCGGGAATGTAGAGCCTTTTGACGCTGCTCCTTCACCTCAACAGTCCGTCTCCACCCTTCTCTCCATCGACCTGCACACGCTACACCCACCGTCCGTCTCCACCCTTCTCTCCATCGACATGCACACGCTACACCCACCGTCCGTCTCCACCCTTCTCTCCATTGACCCGCACACGCTACACCCACCGTCCGTCTCCACCCTTCTCTCCATCGACCTGCACACGCTACACCCACCGTCCGTCTCCACCCTTCTCTCCATCGACCCGCACACGCTACACCCACCGTCCGTCTCCACCCTTCTCTCCATCAACCTGCACACGCTACACCCACCGTCCGTCTCCACCCTTCTCTCCATCGACCTGCACACGCTACACCCACCGTCCGTCTCCACCCTTCTCTCCATCGACCTGCACACGCTACACCCTCCGTCCGTCTCCACCCGTCTCTCCATCGACCTGCACACGCTACACCCACCGTCCCGTCTCCACCCTTCTCTCCATCGACCTGCACACGCTACACCCTCCGTCCGTCTCCACCCGTCTCTCCATCGACCTGCACACGCTACACCCACCGTCCGTCTCCACCCTTCTCTCCATCGACCTGCACACGCTACACCCACCGTCCGTCTCCACCCTTCTCTCCATCAACCTGCACACGCTACACCCACCGTCTGTCTCCACCATTCTCTCCATCGACCTGCACATGCTACACCCACCGTCCCGTCTCCACCCTTCTCTCCATCGACCTGCACACGCTACACCCACCGTCCATCTCCACCCTTCTCTCCATCGACCTGCACACGCTGCGCCCACCGTCCGTCTCCACCCTTCTCTCCATCGACCCGCACACGCTGCACCCACCGTCCGTCTCCACCCTTCTCTCCATCGACCCGCACACGCTGCACCCACCGTCCGTCTCCACCCTTCTCTCCATCGACCCGCACACGCTGCACCCACCGTCCGTCTCCACCCTTCTCTCCATCGACCCGCACATGCTGCACCCACCGTCCGTCTCCACCCTTCTCTCCATCGACCTGCACACGCTGCACCCACCGTCCGTCTCCACCCTTCTCTCCATCGACCCGCACACGCTGCACCCACCGTCCGTCTCCACCCTTCTCTCCATCGACCCGCACACGCTACACCCACCATCCGTCTCCACCCTTCTCTCCATCGACCCGCACACGCTGCACCCACCGTCCGTCTCCACCCTTCTCTCCATCGACCCGCACACGCTACACCCACCGTCCGTCTCCACCCTTCTCTCCATCGACCCGCACACGCTACACCCACCGTCCGTCTCCACCCTTCTCTCCATCGACCTGCACACGCTGCACCCACCGTCCGTCTCCACCCTTCTCTCCATCGACCCGCACACGCTACACCCACCGTCCGTCTCCACCCTTCTCTCCATTGACCCGCACACGCTGCACCCACCGTCCGTCTCCACCCTTCTCTCCATCGACCCGCACACGCTGCACCCACCGTCCGTCTCCACCCTTCTCTCCATCGACCTGCACACGCTACACCCACCGTCCGTCTCCACCCTTCTCTCCATCGACCTGCACACGCTACACCCACCGTCCGTCTCCACCCTTCTCTCCATCGACCTGCACACGCTGCACCCACCATCCGTCTCCACCCTTCTCTCCATCGACCTGCACACGCTGCACCCACCATCCGTCTCCACCCTTCTCTCCATCGACCTGCACACGCTGCACCCACCGTCCGTCTCCACCCTTCTCTTCATTGAGAGCACTTGAGATACTTTAACTCCACTTGAGGAAGGACCTTTGCACATTTTTCACTCTTACTTATTGTGTAATGTAGTTAGAAATCCACCAGCATTTTAATTAAAAATACAATTAGTTCCTTGTAGTCTAAGTGAGTCCCTTTTACTTTAATGCCACAATATAGTGAGGTATTTAATCTTTCATCTCTTCAAACACGTTTAAAAAAGGCCACTTTGGTGTTACTCTTTTTGCTATTTCAAGTTTTGACCAGAGAGACTTCCTTGGTGCAAGAATGTGAAGGCACATGCTTGATCTTTCTGTAAAGCCATCTATACAATGTTCAAATGTGAACTCAACCGTCTATAAATATAAATAAATAGCATTAGTCAATCTACAGCTGATTACATTAAGGCTTTAACTGGTTTTTAGTAAGAACCATTGGCATTTTCAGTAGAGTTTGTTTTAACGGAAACCAAATATATCACCAGTCCTTTTTAGCTCTACAGAGGTTTTTCTATTGTCACTTTCAAAATCTCACAAGTTCAGCCCAAAGGAGAGTCTGAAGGCCATCTCCACCGGGACCTCGGGGACGGAGTCATGAAAACAGACGTAAAACTCCTGTGGAACCGGTTCAAGCAACATCCGCCTGTGAACAGAGTAGACATAATTATTATTGTTATTATTATTATTACAACAGACATTAGCACCCCCTAAATAAGGAACATGTTTACTTTAAACAATGAAATCATACGAAATAAATGTTCAGGAAAAATTAGAAAATAAACAAAAAAAATAGAGTTTGAAGAAGGAAAGCTGCAGTCCATCTTAGATATTTTTATCTTTTATGTGTGGAGGTTTAAAGAAAGGGGCAGGCAACAAAAGATGGTTTTCTTCTTTCTGCTCATTTTTGTGACAGGAATACAAGTTGAAATAATTAAGTAATTATGTGTATGTGTTTTGTAATTAATTAAGACAATATAGAGATCCTTTATTCGTCCCACAGCGGGGAAATTTCAATCACAAATTAACTAAAATAAAATATATGAATAAATACATATTACTGCAGATTAGACTGGACAGGTGAGATTATCTGCCAGTAGAATTACCAGGAGATATTTTAACATACCATTCCTGTTAAATGAATGTGTTCTGTGAGGGGGGCGTACCCTATGACCCAGTACGTCATGGTGGGCGCAGGCTTCTTCTGGTCGGTCCAGTTTGGGGGTTTGCACTGGAACAGGACCCCGTGTTCCTTCACTGGACCAAGACCCCAGGCTCCGGGCTGTGGTCGACCCGCCGCACGCCTGCCCTGAACACAAACACCTTCTCACTCAGCTGCAGGAGTCCAAAGCAAACACAGCAGAAATATTTCGATCCACTGAGAGAATTTCTGATTCGTTTGTACTGAAGCTGCAGCCTCAAGAAAAACACTGTGTGGCTTTTTTTTCAGTAATAAACTATAAAAGCTGAAGAACTTTGAAACCACAAATAATGAACTATAGTACTCCAGCTTTAAGAACAAGTGGACAGGAAGTCTGTCACTCAAATATTCATTCATCCAACATTTTGAGGCCAGTGGAGAAACCGTTCCATCTGTAATCTCATTGGCAAGAATAGGACAGTAGATGATAATCAGGACCAGTATTCTGCAGATGACTGTATATATTCTAATTAGTTGTGTATTTCCTCTAAACCAGAGGTGTCCAAACCGGTCCAGAAAGAGCCGCTCTGACCTCTGCAACTGTGCAGACAGAGAACGCAGAATTGCCCAAAATGTATTTAAGTTATTGACTTATTAGTGCGTTTGTGGATATCATGACAAAAACAGTTTCTTTGTGATCTATTTGGCGGGCTTTTTCCACAAACCCTTGCAAAAAAGTAGCAGTGTCGTGGCATGATGTTTGATGTATGGTGTTTAAATCCCCCCTCCCCTCTCACCTTGGCGGGGGCGCTCTGGCTGAAGGCACGGCGGATGGACAGGCAGCAGTGGTGGAAGTTTGTGATGAGCTGAGGGTGAATGGAGCCGCTGATGAGAGCCACGTCTCTGTGAGAGGGAGCAATGAAGACGCCCTGAACACTGTCCATCAGCAAGAAGTGAAACAGAGTGTTCTCAGCGCCACTGCTCAGTCTGCGGCACAAGAACACATCAAACCACCTGTCATTTTGATTTGTTGTCATATAGTAAAAAAAAAAGTGCGGCTAGAACGACATAGTCCAATAAGGTTCATTTGACAGATTCAATGGGTGACAGAATGAATGAATGAATACAAATCTTTTTTTTTTTTTCTGTCAGTTACATGACCGATATTTCTGTAACTTATCTTTATTTCACACAGGTTCTGGCACTGTCAGCACTAGATCATACGGAATCCGGACGGAAGCGGAAGTAAATATAACCAACTACCTAAACTAATAGATCCATGCCTAAACTTAACCAGCCATTCCCAAAGAATAACCCCAACCCACCTTAACCCTATCCTTAACCATCTTACTCAGACCACCTTAACCCTAACCTTAACCATCTTACTCAGACCACCTTAACCCTATCCTTAACCATCTTACTCAGACCACCTTAACCCTAACCTTAACCATCTTACTCAGACCACCTTAACCCTAACCTTAACCATCTTACTCAGACCACCTTAACCCTAACCTTAACCATCTTACTCAGACCACCTTAACCCTAACCTTAACCATCTTACTCAGACCACCTTAACCCTAACCTTAACCATCTTACTCACACCACCTTAACCCTAACCTTAACCATCTTACTCAGACCCACCTTAACCCTAACCTTAACCATCTTACTCAGACCCACCTTAACCCTAACCTTAACCATCTTACTCAGACCACATTAACCCTATCCTTAACCATCTTACTCAGACCACCTTAACCCTAACCTTAACCATCTTACTCACACCACCTTAACCCTAACCTTAACCATCTTAATCAGACCACCTTAACCCTAACCTTAACCATCTTACTCAGACCACCTTAACCCTAACCTTAACCATCTTACTCAGACCACCTTAACCCTAACCTTAACCATCTGACTCAGACCACCTTAACCCTAACCTTAACCATCTTACTCAGACCACCTTAACCCTAACCTTAACCATCTTACTCAGACCACCTTAACCCTAACCTTAACCATCTTACTCAGACCCACCTTAACCCTAACCTTAACCATCTTACTCAGACCCACCTTAACCCTAACCTTAACCATCTTACTCAGACCCACCTTAACCCTAACCTTAACCATCTTACTCAGACCCACCTTAACCCTAACCTTAACCATCTTACTCAGACCCACCTTAACCCTAACCTTAACCATCTTACTCAGACCACCTTAACCTAACCTTAACCATCTTACTCAGACCACCTTAACCCTAACCTTAACCATCTTACTCAGACCACCTTAACCCTACCTTAACCTTAACCTAACTCTTACTCAGACCACCTTAACCCTAACCTTAACCATCTTACTCAGACCCACCTTAACCCTAACCTTAACCATCTTACTCAGACCCACCTTAACCCTAACCTTAACCATCTTACTCAGACCACCTTAACCCTAACCTTAACCATCTTAACCTTAACCATCTTACTCAGACCACCCTTAGACCCCTAACCTTAACCATCTTACTCAGACCACCTTAACCCTAACCTTAACCATCTTACTCAGACCACCTTAACCCTAACCTTAACCATCTTACTCAGACCACCTTAACCCTAACCTTAACCCTTACTCAGACCACCTTAACCCTAACCTTAACCATCTTACTCAGACCACCTTAACCTTAACCATCTTACTCAGACCCACCTTAACCCTAACCTTAACCATCTTACTCAGACCACCTTAACCCTAACCTTAACCATCTTACTCAGACCACCTTAACCCTAACCATAACCATCTTACTCTGACCACCTTAACCTTAACCATCTTACTCAGACCACCTTAACCCTAACCTTAACCATCTTAATTTAATCCATCCTCCTCCCTCCTCTCCCTAGGATGCACAGGGTCTCTGCTTCGCAGCCACTGGCAGTCTAGTTAGAGGAGAGACCCGGCTGGGGCCCTGTCATGAAGCCACCTGTGCCATTCCCTTAGTGATAACACAAAGAATACATTACAGAAAGACATCTGGAGTTAATCAGTCTAATCTGGAAAATCTAATTCTTGTTCCGTGTAAGAATCAGCCGACCACAACCGCTGATACTGAAACTTTGAAACTTGCTATGCTAAATGTCAGATCTCTTTCTAACAAGTCTTTTTTAATCAATAATTTTATTTGTTCTTATAATCTAGATCTTATGTTCATGGCTGAAACATGGCTTGACCAAAATACAGAAAATGCAGTTTTAATAGAAGCATCACCACCAAATTTCAAATTTGAATCTTAAATACGGGAAAACAAAAAAGGAGGAGGCTTAGCTGCCATTTTCAGAGACCACTTTGTCTCCCATAGAATGTCTCTTGGGAAGTTTTTGTCATTTGAATATGTGTCTTTTAAAATACAACAAAAACAATCTCCTCCAATACTCTTCATTGTCCTATACAAGCCACCGCAGTCATGTCACAGTTTTATTGATAATTTTACCGAGTTGCTTTCAGTTGTATGCACAGATTTTGATAGTTTGGTTATTACAGGTGATTTTAATATTCATGTGGATAATGTTGATGACAGAAATGCAAATGAGCTGAGTTCTGTACTTGAATCCTTTGATCTCACTCAGCATGTGAGTGGCCCCACCCACAGCAGAGGGCACACTCTAGACCTGTTAGTTACAAAGGGGGTGAATATTTCAAATATAAGCGTGGTCGATGTTGCTCTTTCGGATCATTTTTGTGTATTTTTTGACATGTGTTTCACTAACAAACCACCAGTGGACTCTGCAACTGTTCGAAGAAGACACATAAATGAAAATACGAGTGAACTATTTATGGGAATGATAAACTTTGAAAATGCATCGTATTCTACTGTAGATGAACTGTTTAACTCTGTCACCTCTAGTGTTTTGAATGTTCTGGATACGGTTGCCCCTGTGAAGGTTAAAATAGTGAAAAATAAGCAGAAGGCGCCGTGGGCTAAAGCAGACTCGGTCAGGGCACAAAAGAGAAAGTGCCGGAGGGCCGAGCGGAAGTGGCGCAAGTCCAACCTCCAGGTTTTTTACAAGATCTTCAAAGATAAGTTGTGCGAGTTTAACCGGGTGCTACGTAGTACGAGAGAAAGGTATTTTTCTGAAATGATTGAAGGCTGCAGTAACAATCTGCGTGTTCTGTTTTCAACAGTTAATAGATTAACAAACCCCCCTGTTCAGATGCCATTAGAGATAACTTCCAAACGTAAATGCAATGAGTTTGCACACTTTTTCAATGACAAGGTTCAAGGCATCAAAAACGCCATTGTCTCCAATCCACAGATAACCATCCAACAGCCAGAAAGGCTCTCTGAGCTAACTTACTTTGCACCTGTAAATGATCAAACTGTCCAAGAGATAATCTCCAGTCTGAGCGCCTCCACATGTAGCCTGGATGTACTACCCACTAGATTTCTGAAGTCTGTTCTGAGCAGTCTGTTACCTTCACTCACACAGATAGTAAACATGTCCCTTCATTCTGGAATATTCCCAAAGGCCCTGAAAACTGCAGTCATCAGGCCCCTGCTAAAAAAGAGCAGCCTGGATGCTACGGTACTTAACAACTATCGTCCCATCTCAAATCTGCCATTTATGGGGAAAGTCCTTGAAAAAGTTGTCTACCTACAGCTTACTAGATTTCTTATAATCAACAACTCATTTGATATGTTTCAGTCCGGCTTTAGACCCCACCACAGCACTGAGACTGCTCTTGTCAAGGTTACAAACGATATCCGGCTGAACACTGACGCAGGCAAAGTCTCAATCTTAATCTTGTTAGATCTGAGTGCTGCCTTTGACACCGTCGACCATGAGATCCTCTTACAGAGACTAGAGGACTGGGTTGGAGTCGCTGGCACCACCCTAAGTTGGTTTAGGTCTTACCTTGAAGACAGGAAGTACTTTGTGGAGATTGGAAACTGTGTCTCAGATCATATGGCCCTGACCTGTGGAGTCCCACAGGGGTCGATCCTGGGACCTCTTCTGTTCAATCTCTACATGCTGCCGTTAGGTCAGTTAATACGCAGAAACAAAGTGTCCTATCATAACTATGCAGACGACACTCAGATCTATGTCTCACTGACTGCAGGAGAACATGGACCAGTGGACTCACTCCTTCACTGTATCCAACAGATCAGTGAGTGGATGCAAAACAACTTCCTTCAGCTAAACGCAGACAAAACTGAAATGATTGTCTTTGGTCCCCAGAAACAAAGAGAGAGCGTCATCTGTCACCTACAGTCTCTCTCCCTAAAACCTTCAAACAAGGTCAGAAATCTAGGGGTAATACTGGACTCAGACTTAAATTTTAATAGCCACATCAAATCAGTAACATCAGCAGCTTTTTACCATCTAAAAAACATTTCCAGGATCAAAAACATAGTGTCTAAAGCAGACTTGGAGATTCTTATCCATGCATTTGTCTCCAGTAGGTCAGACTACTGCAATGGCCTGCTCACAGGTCTGTCCAAACAGGCTGTAAAACAGCTGCAGTACATTCAAAATGCAGCAGCTCGAGTCCTGACTAGAACCAGGAAGTACGACCACATTAGTCCGGTCCTCAGGTCCCTGCACTGGCTCCCTGTGGCTCAGAGAATAGACTTTAAAACAGCTCTGCTTGTGTACAAGTCTCTCCATGGCCTCGCACCAAACTATATTAGTGACATGTTAGTCCCATATGAACCAGCCCGGACTCTGAGGAGCACAGGGACTGGACTCCTGTTAGTGCCCAGAGTCAGAACTAAACATGGGGAGGCTGCTTTTCAGATTCATGCTGCTAAAATCTGGAACAGTCTTCCTGAAGATGTGAGACAGGCCTCCTCTCTGACAATGTTTAAGACAAGGTTGAAAACCGTTCTGTTTAGCTGTGCATACAACTGAGGGATTTTATATTTTTATCTTTTTTTTTTTAATGTACTGTGATTATTTATGATTTTAATGCTTTCTTGTTCTGTTCAGCACTTTGAATTGCCTTGTGTATGAATTGTGCTATACAAATAAACTTGCCTTGCCTTGCCTTGCCTTAATTTAAGCTGAGAATGTCAAAGAAAATGGCATCACTGTTCCTGATCGTCACTCACTTCATGCTGCTGTACATGTCCTCAGTCTCTTTCTCAGTCAGAGTTCTCTTCAAATTGCCGAGGTGAAAGGGGTTTGGGTGCTTCATCCATGGGCTCTGGGGAAAAATAAATGTAAAAAATATGAGGCTTGCAGGATATAAATAAATGCATGTGTCCCTCATTGCATGTGTTCATTGTTTTGCCAAAAGTGTTCTACAGTGCATACGAGAGCAAGTTTATTTTCAATTACAAAGTTACGATACACCATTGAACGCCACACAACGAATGAAGCAGAAAGAAACAGAACAATCTGACTTATTTTGTGTCTATATACTTTTCCCCATATTTTTTCCTCTAACACAGATAAAAAGTGACTAGAATGAAATCTGACCTTGAACAGTCCTCCGCCGCCATCGGACCCTCCAGACCTCAGAGAGTCCCGTCTGGCCCCCAGCCGCCTCCCTGACTCTGGGGTAGAGTGTGGACTGAGGCCCCGTGCCAGCTCTGGTCCCTCACCGTCTGACAGGCTCCTCTGTGGACTCTGTCTCCGGGATTTCTCCCCAAACAGACTGCGACCCCTGCAGCAGTCACCAGCGTTTAAGGGCGCGTTCACATTTGTTGATTTGATTCATTTACACTGAAGCCTGGCTCACTTTGGGAAAAATGCTGTTTCAAAAGATATAAACTGACTTAAGTGACTCGTGGACTTATGTTCACTAGTTTGGTTTCTCCAAATGTACTAGACTTAGTCCAGTTGAAGAGATCCAATGTAACTTCCCATTTTTCTTTCTAAAACCATCACAATTCCATTTATTTTCTATGAATGTACAATATGTGATTTTTATTAGGTAATTGGGACATTGTAATATAAACATTACCCAGAAGGGGACTTGCATTGTACCTGTGGTCATTAATCACAGGTGTACCTATATCCTGAAGTAGACGAGGCTTTGACGAGTTTGCTGAGGACAGGGGAGGAGGAGGCCAGGCTGTCGAGACGTTCCCGAGCGGAGGAGGAGGCGGGGAGGAACCAGTCTGCACAGGAGAGACATGGAGCTGCAGGAGCAGTGAGGCGCTGCTCTATCCCCCCTTCCACATCCTCCAACTGCAGCAGAGTGGCCTTCACCTGTGACCACAGGAGTCTAAGTCATAAAATCCATTTTTAAAATCCACTTCAATTCCAGCCTCTAAAACAGTTCAGTTCTATTACTCGTTTGCACTTGCACGTACTTTGGCCTCTGTCACATGTTTAAGATCAGCTTTTCACAAAGAAAAGTACAAATCAGAAGACCACTCAGCTGTTTGTCTCGTTCTAATAAGTGCAAAAGAAAAGGCAATGACAGCATGTCGTGGTCTGATTTGTTCACAACATTTTACTCTTTCTGACAAACACAATGTATTATTTATGAAAATATTTATGCTTTAACAAAACTCCTTCTTTCGCGATGGAAGTCTCACCTGGTCAACGTAAACAGAGTCTGGACCTGGAGCCCCCACAGCGGGAGAAGCACAACCTCCGGCCTCCAGCAGCACACACTGCAGGAAGTGTCTCTGAGGAAAACCAGGATTATCTACAATTATTACAAGATAATAATGCATCGGTTTTTTGGACACTCAAAGTCTCTTCACATCTAGCCTAGTGTATACTCGCGCTGCGCGGAGCTTATGGAGGTGACGTGACATCACTTGCGCATTGGTCACCGCAAGGCCCTTACGTCGCCTGAAGGAAGCATGAAGCGGCTGCAGCAGGAGCATGGACGAGGCACTATGGAGCAGAGAGCTTTGTGCTTCCAAGGAAAAGCAGTTTGGGCTCAGAGTCGGATATACAGGAGACTGTGGACTATCTAACATATATATAACTTATATCTAACATATATATAACTTATAAACTGTTCCTGTCTTGTTAGAATCGTAGCTGCGTTTGTTGCTTTCCTCCTGCACTCGTAAATCGTTCATGTTTGTCTCAGATATTTACCACTATTATTGTTTTGCTGTTTGTGCTGAAAACTATTTAATAATAACTATGTTTCCAACAAGAACTGTGTGTTTATTCACAGCATCACAGTTGAAATGACTTATAAAATAATGAATCCATAAAACTATCACATAAACCTACAGTAGAAACACGTGTAATGAGCTCAAACAGCTTTGTTTGTTATTGTTGTTCTGAAGAGGACAAAGTAGCAGCGTAAATGGGACCGCTCCTGTGTGATCGCCCTCATGTGGTTTGTTGTGGGATTACAACATTCTCCTCAAAACTCCATAAGGGGAACGCGCCAGTATAACATCAATTGTGCTTACGTAGGTCCACCGCAACCGCTAACGTAAGCCACGCCGCGCAAGTATACACTAGGCTTTATTCTTTCTCTCCAAACACGGTGGTGATAAACTACTACTGTAGCCACAGCTGCCCTGGGGCACACTGACAGAAGCGAGGCAACCAGTATGCGCCATCGGACCCTCCCACCACCACCAACCATTCACACACACACCAGACTCATTCTAGGCAATGGGGTGAAGTGTCTTGCCCAAGGACACAACAGCAGTTTGGCACTTTACAGCCGCAGCCGCCCCACTGTGGCACCTGATGCTCCCAGAGGTTAAGTGTCTTGCCCAAGGACACAGCGACAGCAGACAGTGGGAGTCGATGGTGAAAGTCTTGAGGTGGGCTCGAACCGACGACCTTCAGGCTCAAAGGCCAATGCTCTACCAACTGAGCCATAGAGAAATTTATATTTCATATAATATAAAAGGCAAAAGTGACTGTGAGCTCATCAAAGTCCCAGGGATTCCACAATTTTTATCAAGATTCAATTCCATTCAAAACTGGGATACCAAACTCCCCTTTAATTATGCATGTTGGTTGTGCCAAAAAGGGACGCATAATATTTTCTTCTTCCCAAGGGATTCAGACAGGAAATAAGTGAGAAGCACTGGTTTAATGTATGGTTGATCCACTGCAGCTACTTCAGCGAACTCTGAAGGCAGCCCATGTCCAACCACGACGCAACATGTTGAACTTCACAAACAATGTATAAACAGGGGAAAATGTAACAAGTCCATTACACCTATCTTAGCTCCGCTTATATTTCATTAGTCTAATCATATACTGATACGGTAGAAAGAGTGGACTAACTGAGAAAGCAACTCAGAGCCAATCAGGAGCAGCGCCAATCTGTCCAAGCTGGCGCAACTCCCAGGTTGAAACCACATTCAGGAACAGAGAAGGTACGTTAGAGGAAATCTAGATTCTCTCCTAATTACTGAACAAAGACATGATCCAAATATAGGCACCAGGATAAAAAACTAGGCTTCATAGAGCTAGCATGTTAGCATTGTCCATCTATATCCGATCTATGCATCTGAAGATCACGATGCATACCAGCGTACATATATTTCTGTGATTATACCAGTCCCACGATGAGCAGAAAGTATCGTCCCTGCGGCGTGTTGAACCCTGGAGCTGCGGTGGCTCTCTGCTGAGGAAACACCTCCCTCCAGACCACCAGCTGCCCCACCCTCGGCTCCCAGGACAGAGGCAGCAGCAGGAAGTGTCGACAGTACAGGCTCACGTCCAGAAGCTCCTCCTTCGGTAAATGGTTCGCGATCAGGTAGGACTGGGGAGGATGAAATAATGCTCCATTGAATGTTATCAGCTTTTCTGCAGTGAAATTGACTAAAAACTACTTTCACGATACCATAATCTTTTCATTCATCGCCACCGTTGTTTTGACCGTGACGAAAGCAACTGATAAAGTTGTGCTTGTAGTTGCTAACAGTCAAACATGCAACTATGAACTACAGTTTCACAGCAAACTGAAATAGTTCTATTCCCTGACTACTCTTCCTTCTGATGCAGCCGAGACCATTGAATGTCACACGAACCTTATAAAACAAACAGGAGCCAAGGATCACGTACATTCTCCTTAAACCAAAATAGTCTTCGGACTGTAAAGAAATGCACAATATTAAAAGTCAGTTGGAAAACGTCAATCTTTATGGGAATTTGGGTACAATTCTCACCATTTCACCAAAGTCAGAAGATTCAAAGTCTGACAGAAGAGTGTCCACCTCCATCTGTAAATAAATGGCTTATATAAACATTTGGTCATTTAAGCTTTCATTTCTAATTATGTCCATTTAACCTCTGCATCGTGCATCATGAGCTGCGTGGGCGACAGTGCTACAATAACAGCTGCAATTTATTGATTACAAGTACTGAATACTGATTTTTTATTTTTTTACTAAAAGGTGGAGTACATATCTTTGGGATCATCATATAAAACTACTAAGACAGAATTCAGTGGAAATTACCTTCTTTACAAATAAGACACTTTAATCATTTGAATGAAGTAGAATCATTGGAAAGTCCCATTACTCAGTGTAACTAAAAAGGAGAAATGACTAAAGTAAAGTGTTTACGAGGAAACGGATGTAGTTACAGAATCAGTAGGTGGCGGAAAGTGCCCATGGCCATAAACCCACACGGAGAATGAGCATGAATTAAAAACACCAATAAATATCAATTATTTTGAAAGCTGACCTTGATTTGTGGAGGCAGAGTGAGCCATCGAACAGCAGGAAGTCCATCTAAGAACAGTGTCCCAGAGGCGTCCACCGGGGGAGCTGCGTGGCCCTCAGTGAGACGTGACGGCTGAATGAGCTGCTGGAAGAACAGGCAGAAGAAGTGGTCGAGCCGAGGAGAGCGGTCCGGCTCCAGGAACGCACTGGAATCACAACAATAACCTTTTAATCACAGACCAGTTGGAGACCAATCAGTTAGACTGGGCACGCTGCATAAAACAGCCTCTCTATACGTGGTCACACTGACCACAAGATAATTGTGAGTTATGTAGATTAGAGGAGTTAATGTCATCTGCCTTTGGAATAAGTATGCATTCTTAGTTTAACTAACTTAACTTCTTAAGTGCACAACAATTATTTTTGTATTTATGTTTTCCTGTTTCAAAGAAAAACTGATGCCATAATTTTATTTTTCAAGCCAAATCTAGGTTTAGTTTTGTTCATTTATTTAGACAAAAAGGGACCATGAACAATAAAAATTAACCTCAGAGGAAGAGATGAAATGTGCCAGATTCTAATATCCACCTGTATCGTCCCTGGGCAGGCTGGTGTTATTATCAAAAGTGATAAAACATTAAAAATGCAGTAAAATATCAGGTTTTTTAAATTCCCTCCAATTATGAATATAATCTTATTCTTTACAATGTACTCACACCTACGCACACCTACGCACACCTACGCACACCTACGCACACCTACGCACACCTACGCACACCTACGCACACCTACACACACCTACGCACACCTACGCACACCTACGCACACCTACGCACACCTACGCACACCTACGCACACCTACACGCACACCTACGCGCACACCTACACGCACACCTACACGCACACCTACACGCACACCTACACGCACACCTACACGCACACCTACACACACACCTACACACACAAGTACATCAGTTTATATTATGGTGTAAGTTTGGTTTGAAAAGAGCCATTTCTTTACCAGGCGTTTAAGTTATCCATTTCTAAAACTAAACTAAACGTATCTCTTTTATCTCTTATTTTCCTTCTGTAAGTACATAAGCAACAGCCTTTTGTATGTGTTTTATCCAAATTGTCTGATGTGCTTACCTGTATTTATCTTCTTCACTTACTTTCCTTTGTGGATTGATAAAGTTTGTCGAAGTCAAAGAAGGAGTAAAAAATATGTAAATAAGTAATATATGTAAATAAGATACTTTGAAATGTAATTAATTCCACAAAAGGCTACATAAATTAATCAGTCAATCCATTTTATTTATAGAGCCCTTTGCAAAACTCAGGGCACAAAGTGATCACAATAAAATGACATAAAATCCATTAAAACATTTATGCATCAAAACCGTTAAAAAGCATTAAAAAAGTGCTGTAATTATAATAATTGAATGTAATTGTGTTCGTCTGTGTAATGTGTGTCTGCTAATTCACTTGTCTGCAATGTTATTTCTCAGGAGTTGTAATATCCAGGAAGCCTGTCTCACCTGTCCAAGGAGCCGTACATCACTTTTAAAGTCCTCACAAGGTCTTTCACCACAGTCTGCAGACACAGAAGAGGAACCCTGAAAATAGATAAAACACATATTTAAAGTGGAGATATTTGTGTTAAATTGTGTTAAAGTGAGGCCTAAGAGTTCAAAGTCCAACAGAATAACAGAACTCAAAGTAAATAGTTTTACTTGTCAGCAGGCAGCCCGATCACCAACAGGTTGTTTTTCTCTTTCCAGTAGCCCACGTGCACCAGATGTTTCCCAAGGAGCAGAGACGAACTGTAGAAAGACACAGACACAAACAAAGTTTAGGAATATGGTTCCTTCAAAACAATAATTACTCAACAACAGATCTGGTTTTCAAAGGTGCAAATGTGCAGAGATCATTTCACAGGACGTCACGGAAGATCAGAGGAAATAAAACACTGATGTCTGATAAATATAATATATATGGTCATATTTATCAGATATAATATATATGGTCATATTTATCAGATATAATATATATGGTCATATTTATCAGATATAATATATATGGTCATATTTATCAGATTTAATATATATGGTCATATTTATCAGATTTAATATATATGGTCATATTTATGCTCCAAACCAAAGAATATAGCTGTGGCATTTCATGTAGTTTGTTTGTGATAAGATGAAGAGAGAAGATGCTCTGATTTGTATATGTTTTTATGTATAAATCAAAGACAAATGGAAAAAGATATGTACATGTGCACTGTATATTGTATATAGTAATTGTAACTCTAGTTTAATTTTAAATGTATTAAATGTAGGTGTTTTATTATTATTTTTATTTTATTTTATTATCTCTTTCTGACTGTTGCACTGAGCCGAAGCAATTTCCAAGTCTGTGTCCTCCTGTTACTTACGTGGCAATAAAAATGATTCTGATTCTGATATATGTAAAATATAAATATATAAAAATTTTGAAGTCAGATCATAATACATATTAAAAATAAATTATTCTAAATACTAAATTAAGTTATTTTCATTGATGGTGGAACATTTTTCCAGTTATAAAAATATACATACTGCTATTTGTGTTTATTTTTGCCTCATGTGAGTTGTACCTGAGGATTTGTCCTCCTGTGACGTTCTCCAACATGTCGCATAAAGTCAGAAAGATCCCTCTGACGCCTTTGAGCTGACGAGACGCTTCAGACACTGGGTACTGGTACAAGATCTCCTCCTACGGCGATCAAACAATACTAAATATTATTAGATTTATAGGACATAAAATAAGCAATCATCATTCAGGAAACTTCAGCTCCAGCAAAGGTAAATCAAAATGTTCATGTCTGTTTCGTAATCCATTGGTTGCCTGATGTTATCTGTCCACACTGTGTGGGAACATCTTTGGCTAATGATCTTTGATGTAAAGGCCCTAGATTAATAACAATAAAATACATACTTAATAGTTAATATAAATTGGTAATCAGCAGAACATTCCATCTGCTTCAACCAAAGACTAGAAAATAAGCTTCTCCATCCAAGTAATATGTGAAACGTAATTATGAGCCGCACAAAGGAATGAGTGGAGGATTGTTTCTACCTCAAGCTCATGTCAAATTGCTCAAGGAAAAACCAAATAACTGTGGCAAACAATTCTGGAAGAAAATGTGCTTTTGGTTTGTCTTCGAGGAGTAAAATATCCCCGAAAATAGAAGCTGAACAGAGAACGCTACAGACGTCCTGCAACAATTAAAGGAAAATCAATCTATAACCAAGAAATCCTGTCTGCTGTCAGTCAAAGTGAAAGAGGTCGCCCGCCAGTGTCTACAGCAGGATTTCAGAAGAGCAGGATAATAACAATAGCCTGAATGGAAATGAGACAAAGCTGAATAAGAAAGTATTAAAAGAAAGTGAATTTGTGAAATAACCTCAATACCAAAGAAGAGTGATATGATCTGTCAATCAATTCAGACTCTTCAACTATTCAGTAGGTAATATGTACTTCTAGTGTTCTCAGGCTCACATTTGGGTCTCCAGGCAGACAAACTGGCAACCCAAAGTAAGTCATTACACTTTAAACTTATCAAGTATGTGACGTGTTATCTGGAGACACTTTAAATGATGCAAAAATACAACAAGAAACGCATTCAATTACATTAGTGTATGATCAAAACTACAAGCTCACATTTCAAAGAAGTGAATATTACCACACATGTCGTCTCTGATCCTTGCAATCAAAGAGCAGCGGTTTCATGCACTGTCATTACTCTCTCTTTGGGATGAACATTAAGCCAAGAGACAGCGCAGTCGGCTGTAATTTTACACAGTGCAAGATGTCAACCCACTCAGAAACACACATATTTTACTAATAATCATCCAACACGATAATTTTCTGCAAAGCAACTTCTTCATATGTGTATTGAGTTTAACAAAATACACGCAAGACAATTTTGCAAGAGACATAACGCTATAAAAAGGACTTAAAATTCTTAAGGAAAGAAATTGATCCAATACAAATTTCCTTTTGCAGTTTTCCAGTTCCTTCTCAATCTGCTCTTTAAATCACAAAACCTCAAAAATTACGAAGCCAAGAAAGTCACAGTCTGGGATGAAAATTATAACTGGTTTTGTTCAGAAGCAGTTAATTTAATGGTCACGCTTGAATAACAGTCTACCCATAATTCAATTTACCTCATATTATTTTACAGCCACTTCAAGGTTTTTGACCATTTACCATATTGCTAATATCTGAGGATGCAGACCTCCCTCAATCTTGCATTTCCTTTTTCAAGTTTTATGAGGCTTTTTGGCCATGAGTCTGTTCAGACCACAAACTAGGATCAAGTTTCACCCAAGCCACCCGAGATCCGAAAGCGCAGGGGAAAATCCTTGCTCACTAAAATTGGACATTACCTACAGCTTTCAGCCTGGTCAACATGTCATTGTGCATTCATTTAAGATTTTTTCAATATAGTTCTTAAATCTTACGTACGGTTTCTTTCCAGATTTTACAGATGTAATAAGGATTTTATCAGGAGTGTTGGGGTTTACTGTAGGAAAGATGTCAATAACGATATACAGTAATATTCAGTATAAAATGGCAGCAGTGTGTTCATATTGACTGTCGTTCCCACAGATGAGTGAATCCTTTTGTATGTGTGTGTAAGTTTTCCTTAATGTAAAGTGCCGTGGGTGACTTTAAAGGTCCAATAAAAACTGGAGTATTTGCAGATGTGTGCTCAAAAAACAACTAAAACATGAGGCCTCAACAATGGGTTACTTTTTGTTTTTCATTTTAGTTTTTTAAAGAACCAGACCACGGCCAGCTTTCGGGGGTGGTCTCGGTTCACTCCCACATGGACCCCAGTTTTTTCTTTCTCTTTTGGTAGTAAAGAAATTTGTTTTTCACTGTGTCATAATATGGTATGGTGCTATGGTGGCTGTAGTGAGATAGCATAGCTCACAATAGAAGACTTCATGTCTGTTAAAAGTATATCAACATGGTCCACATACGTTATTAAAGCGCAGCTACAACAGCCCAAATTCTGGTCCAAACAGTTTTCAAATCCAGGTTCTCGGCCCCTGGACAAGACTGGTGAACTGAAGTGGCCCTCTTCCTAAAGAATTTGGACACCCTTGTATCACACTATTTAACCCCAGTTGAAATAATCGCTTAACTTAAAAGAGTATGTTTGCTTGTATTTATATTTGATCTGGATATTTTTAATTAATGGAACTATGCCTCATGGCAAAGGTTTGCACTCTACGGGTACTTTTTAAATGTTACATACCGTTGCCCAAGTATGACCGAATGAGTTAATACTGACCTCGTCCTTTGGAGACGCAGAGTCCAGTTTGAGTGACAGATACAGAGCGATGTGTGGGAGGTGTTGGATGGACATCTGTAACTCTGCCGTGTCCTCTCCCCACAGCAGGCGAACCAGCTGACTGACCGGAGGAGACGACTTCATCCTATGGCCCTCCAACGCATCGTCAGCTCTGTTCACAGGGACCATGGTCTCCAGGGTCAATCTCACCTAAGCAAAGAAGAGAACATATCCATGAATCCATGATACGACCGTAAACCTGTCTACGTTATTGGAGACAAGTATGATCATGTGTAAAGTATAGTATAGGTTTTTAGCAATAACAATCAGATTCTACTTGATGCGAGATACACATTTTGATTTTGATCCCGCTTCCTAAGGACCTATGTGCTTGTTATTATTGATAGATGATGGTAAGTTGAATGTGACTTTTCAAGTTATTGTTGAGCTGGTGGCAGATTTATGTTCAAAAGGCTGCAGCAGTGCAAAGAGCATTATGAAACACATTTTTCATATTGTAAATCCAAGTAAACATTCAAATAGAGGGTTATGATTAAACAAACAGATCTATGATCTAAAAATAGTTCTTTTTTTTTATCTTAGATCCACTGCTTGGCACTGGGTCGGACTGAGAGCACTTTTGCAGACTGTAAAACATGGCGTGCCAACAAAAAGGAGAACAACTTTACTCATTCTGAAATCAGAGAAGACATGGGGAGAGCAGAGCGGAGAAAGCAGCGCCCAAAACCACAACTGCAGTGAAACAAACAGCAGATTTGAGCTGTTGAGTTAATGTGAACCAGACCGGACCAGACTACAACAAACCCCACTGGACCCAGCCGTTTATGCAGATACAACAACTGCAGAAATGAAAGCACAATTATAAACTGACATTAATGTTATAGGAGTAAGTGAGGAGTAACTGATTAGCACTAATTCTGATTTCTGGACCAATTGTGACACACAGTTTTATATCACAGTAGGAACATTAATATTTTTGTTCAGTAGAGAAACCTTAACCTTAAAAGAAGAGCCGAAATTGAAAATCGGTCCGATCTCTAACCACAGTCTACCAGCCACTGATTCAGGCGCCTCCATTTGGGATTTGTGCCATTTTGGACCATTTCAGGTCTATTACAACAGAAGATCTGGAAAGTGGGAAAGCTGCCCTTGGACACACAGCATTCACAATGTCTGGGGTCATGTGGATAAACTCTATTTGTTGCTTAAACTTTGTTTAATTAGACCACAAACATATTCTAACTGTAAACGGTCTCGTCTCTTTGAGAGTATAGCGGGAGGAGGCCCAGTAGATTTCTCTCTTCATATATCATCATAAAGATGCAGTTACATTCTGAGGGATGTTCCACTGTGTTATTAAAGTCATTATTTACTATCAGTGCGGTGTGTGAATAAGCCTCATAATGATCCCAGAAATCCTAAAGGATCTATGTGGGTCTCGTTCATTTTTTCTGCACATTGCCATGTTCATGAAGAATTGCACAGGAAGACTTTATTGACTGTATTGCATAATAAACTTTGACATTGCCCAGTTTCATCTCAAAGCAAAACATGAACAGCTGGAAACGTCTGGAATAAGTATTTTTATGGCATCCTCCGTTCCAAAGTTACACAAAATTAAAAAGGAGCATTTTTTACATTTCAAAAGCGTTTGCTGGCAGTAGTTTCACACACCATTCTCTGTCAGCACAACTGTGGTATTTTAGGGTTTGGAGAGTTTGTATATGTGCAAAAACCTGGCTGTTTTGTTTCCGACAGCAGCGTCCAACCTCACAAACAAACCAGTCTGCTTCCTGTGGCTCAGCAGTCCTCATCGTTCTTTATAATTTGCAAAGTCCTACTTTTGATGGTTTTTGGTGAGAGTGTGTGGCTGAAGAAAAGTCCAAGGCTATTTATGCTTTCCATCAAAGTAATTGAAGGTTTTTTAACACCGCTGCTTTCTATTCATACATTTGAACAACAACAAAAAACAAACAGGCTTTTTTTAAATAAATCTAAAAGCGAATATTATATTATATTTAAAACTGGCTTTCCGGAGCATTCAACCATGTCATAGAAGTTTTTCCTAAGTAGTGTTTCTAACCCCACTAATAATTATTCCAGTGATTCATGCATGTTTTCTGTAGTATTTATTCTCCTGCAAACACATTCCGACACATTTTTGCCTACAGCACAGAGCTAGCTTGGCTTTAGCCATCCATAAACTCTGGTCAATTATCATTTACCTACATGTACGTCTGGGTCTGATACAAGTGGCTGCTGTTGTATCCCATCCGACCGGTGAATGCGATACAGTTAAGTGATCTGTTCTGGTTCGGCTCCAAATATCAAGAAATTTAAGCCCGAGCAAGAGGAATATTTAGCAAATTGCTGGCAAAGATGTTGCGGCTCTACTCCCAACTCACTCGGGCGCATTACATACGTCACGGTAAACTCAGATCCAATCGTTTCAATCTTCAAAAGGAGTTAACCCCTCCCTCCTGTTACCGAAGCTCAATGGAGCAAATCCAGACCTTAGTCCGAAATGTAATTTGTACTATGGTGTGGTAGGACAAGGCTAGCACAGAGCCACTGTTCTTTATCTGTGATACATGTAGGATTTTGCTCGCTTGATGTCATTTCATTTTGTAGAAACAGCCTGAAATCGCAGCATTTGGATTTGTTCGTTTCACAGTAGGCTAGTACCTTTTTGCTTTAACCAATCGCAGCGGTCTGGGCGTGACAAACCAACTTCATGACTTTGCCTCGGTTTGCTGTTTGGCCGGCATGTTTTCCAAAGATGTGTGAAGCATATCTTTGCAAAACATGCACAAACATATATTAAGATTGAAAATCAAATTCAAGTAACACGGAAAGTACACATCCAAAAAGGCTCAATATTTACTGAAATGTACAAATAAAGCAGTGATTGGCTTTTTAGGCACACATTTGACGAATGGGCATCTTTCCTGCTCTAATTGTTACATGTATTGGAGATATTTAAAAATTAAAAAATAAAATTACAATAATGCGAAAAAACATATCATCAAATTCACTTTCGCGATATTATCGTCTATGATATATATTGCCCACCCCTAGCGTGCGTGTGCGGTGCGTGTGCGGTGCGTGTGCGGTTGGTGTGCGGTGCGTGTGCGGTGCGTGTGCGGTGCGTGAGCGGTGCGTGTGCGGTGCGGTGCGTGAGCGGTGCGTGAGCGGTGCATGTGCGGTGCGTGTGCGGTGCGTGTGCGGTGCGTGTGCTGTGCGTGTGCGTCCGTGAGTACTAATAACCTGTGTGGGTCCAGGGATGCAGGACAAAACCCTCTCAATGTTTTCAGAGTTCACCTCGACGTCGTCCATGGCAACCAGCACATCACCTGAAAAAGAGAGATCGGTCACAGAGTAATTTCATGAAAATGAGATTTGATGTTTTGGGTATTGACATGTCTGGTTCAACTCAACTCAAGTAAATTGCAAATGCTGCTTGGATTTTAGATTGATTCATCTGCAAAACAATCAGTGCAGTTTTTAAAATGCCATTCTTCAATATCATCTTCAACTTACAAAGAACATTGTCAATAAGTCACATCTGACTGACAGATGCTGCTGGTGAAACTTTGCCAACATCTAAAAGCATGTTTCTACCTGCAGGTTTATGAAGGAGTCAGACTATAATCGTACAACTCTGGTACATCCAGTATTAGTACAGACAGACAAAACACTAAAGTTCAAAACCATTAGTTAGAAGTGAGTTCATCAACTATAACCTTCTTCTTGTGATAGATGTTACAGATCTCAATTAATTCCTCAATTTTTTTTACATATAGTAAGAAGACTTCCCCCTCTACAAATATATATTAGTTATAACTTATATGTAGAATTTATTCAGGTACTGACACGCTTGTTTCCAATGGAAAAGGAAAGTTTATGACCAACTGTGCAGACTGTGAAACTCGTAAAATTATAATATTGTCCTATATCGTATAATTGTTCAAAACTCAATTTACTTCTGTAATTAAGTGAGTAATCTTAATTTATAGAGTCACAAAGCTCTTTACAATTATTGTGGGCCTGTGTCTCTCACTCCACACAGTAATGGGAGCGGGGTCTCGTACAGGAGGCTCATGCCAGATCTATTTGTGCATGTTTTTTGTGGTAGGGGAAACCGGAGTACCCGGAGGAAACCTACGCAGACACGGGGAGAACATACAAACTCCACTCAGTTTCCACTTAAAACTAATACCAATGTGAATGCAAAGTGGGATATATCAAGCCTTTGTTTGTCAAATTATTGATATTGGCTCCCAGCTGTAAAAATAAAGAAAAAAGGAAAATGGAGAATAAGCCAAAATCAAAATGAAAACAAACAAAGGCTTGATGTCACTTTAATTACAGAAATAAATAAAAGTTAAATATTATTCTAACTTTTCAAAGTTTCACCTGGACAAAAATCCAGGAAAAAAACACTTTTAGGTGAACCCAAGTTTAAAGCAAGTTTAGTAATGCCCCTTTAAATAATGTAAATTAAGAAGGACCATAAAGTGCAAGTGTTTAATCTCGAGGGGATTATGCTCAAACAGATAAATAAATAAAAAATCTAACCATGATCTTTCTCACTGCTTACCAATCAGGATGTCTCCGCACTTAGCAGCAGGAGAGTTTGGTACCAGCCCGTGCACGCCAAGCCTGTCCTCCTGCCTCATGCCTTCAGAGTCCCAGGCTGGACGATGAATCACCCCCAGCAGAGCCTCCAGAAGACCCCCATCCTCAAACAGAGGCACTGAGGAGGCTGAGAGCCGCTTGGGGTTGAGATACACACACACTTCTTTGAGCTGCATCCGAACACTGCCTCCCTGTCTTGGCCCATTCTGGTTCTTCAAAATAGACGCCGGTGCATCTTTGCCTTTACTGAGAGTCGACCTGCGTTTTCTTCTCAGTATTTTGGCAAGTCTCTTGAGCGTGGCGGTTCCTTTAGCTCGAGAACCAGAGTGTTGTTTTGTGTTTGGCTCTGTGATGATTTCTGCTTCTTTGTCACTGAAGCGGACGTGGTTTGCAGCCCGGGTCAGCGCCAGCTCCTCTTCTCCTTCACTCAACTCCAAGTAGAAGAGCTCGCCGTTCTTTTGGATGTCGTCAAGCCATTCTGGCTCCAAGTCACTGCACAGACAAATGAAAATATTCAGTTAAACTACATTTTGGAACAGTGACCTTTTCTTAGTCATCAGACACTGCAGCAATTAGTATAACAACAAGACTTTTAAACAACTCAACTTACGACACTGAAAAAGATTGTGATACCTGACTTTTTTCCCCATAAATTACATATTTTGCTGGTACCTGCAGAAACAGTCTTCCTCTTTTTAGACAACATAATATTTTGCATACTCAGAAAAAGCCGGAGACACCATTTGACGCTTTGGGTTGAGAGCTGATTGGCTGAATAAGAGTGGTCCTCTCTTTTTCACTTCTCTGTTTGACAAAGCTGATCTAAAATGTGACAGAAGACAAAGATACGTAAAAGCTACACTTTGAGGAACTAGTGACATGGATTTTATTGCATAGTTCAATATTATGTGGTTTGAATCTTTAAACTAATTACATTACTAGAACATTCTTACAATATTAAAAAGGGATATTGTCCTTTAGTTGGTTAATTGGTTGATGGCATAACAACAAATGCAATATAATAAAACCGTAACTCCAAATATTTTTGCCAGCAGTATAATTTTATTATATATTGAAATAATTTCTTATATTGGAGATCAATAATGTACCGTTTTTAGAATTAAATCTGTGGCCATTGCTCAAATAACCCTTTTTGTTGACTGTATTTATATTTGTACAATAGTTTTTTTGTATGGCCAGCACTACAATTAAATGCATGTTACCCTGGTTGAAGAACAACCTGACTTTGAACATCTACAGAAATATATCATCATTGTGAGTTGTATTGTGAAGTCATACGTAATGTCTTCAATTCCACACTCCTAAAAGGTGCAGATTAAAATGAAAAGATCTCTCCTTAAATATGCTGCATATTAATAATAACCACATCTATGTTAAAGAAGGATTTCTATCTAAAGTGGAAAAACTTTGTGCATCAATCATATTACATAAGATAACGGAAAACGTGCAATTATTTAAAGTTGAAGCCAGAGCTGCCACCTCCCAGACTGAGAGCATGCCCTGAAAGCTAAGTTTAAATGAAGGTTGTGGTTCTGGTTAGACACTCCCTCTGTGGTTCTGAAGAGACGCCTCTACAACCAGCACTGGGCGAACAGAAATACGCCTTTTATGCAGTAGTTACAGGATTATTGTGACAGTTTAACATTGACAAATGGCAAAACAACATCTAACCCCGTCCCACAGACTTGAGTAGGACGCTCTTACTCGGAGCTGCAGAAACTTGACGTCTCTCCATCGCTGTTGTGTTTTTCGCTCACAAATCCATCCTTTTGCTTCCTCTTGACTACAGGGCTTTGTGTAGCATCACCCGACGCCATATCTGGCACCGAATATTCCCAATATCCGCTATTAGGAGGCTTTAAAACTACACACAGATCTTAAATTTGCGATAAAAAAAGTCCTCGCCATGTTTTTTTCACTGGCGCCATAGCAGCGTCACATGATCACTATCGTGCCGTGTGATTGGGCGAGAGGACTGTTGCCCCGGACAACAAGGAAGCTTTACGGGCAGCGCCGGTTACATTTAATTATTATCAATATAATGTTACATTTTTCTTATAAATACATGTATTTCACTTAATGTATACACAAAAGACTAAATATACTTTCAATTACTTTTTTGTGAATGCATGACTTCAAATGACGGCTTGGTTTTGTGCCACTGTTAACCTGATAAAAACATGATTGACTGGTTGAAAATCGATGTCACGCTTTAAGGGCATTTACAGCTTTTACGGGGGGATATATAGCTCTCAAGACCAGATTTAAGTCGAATTTGCGCGTACATGCACTACGTTTAATCCTCTCAAATATTTGGCAATTATTTAAAACAATTCCCACGTGATGAACCCATGCAACTTTACAGAGAAATGTCTAACCTGTGCATGAGAACGCTGCGAATGGAGTCGAAATCATCGAAGTTTTTAGTAAAGGAGTTTCCATCAATGTAAAAATTGTACATGGTTGTGAATCATCGCTTCTCCAAATGTCCCTCAAGATCAGAGACGAGGAAAGAGTGAAGAGTTATGGCTGTTCTCCACAATACTGTGCGCGGTTTTCCTCCTCTTGGCACTTGGCGTCACTGGAGCGCCTGCCCACCGTAGACAACCCTCATAAGAAGAAAAAAAAACCCTCATAAGAAGAGTTAATGTGCAAAAACAGATATTTCATTAGAGAGGGGCAGGATTCAATTACTTTTAAAGTTTCTCCTACTCCTTTTGATCCTACTCCATCATGATCTCAGTGTGTAATTGACTGGACGTCGTATTTAAACAAATACTCAAATAAACAAATAGATAAATCTCCGTTACGGAAATGTGTCTAAATACAAACTTCAAAATATTTAGTTGCTGACTGTGAACATGACAATTTGTTCTCGAGAAAGAGCGGCCCTTTATTTGGATGGATTTAAAATGGATCTGGCTTTTCAAAAAACTTATTGCTGAGGAGGAATAGGTGTTTTGATAATTAACTATTCATGTGCACGTTTAGTAGGCCAACCTTATCATACATGGGGTACAATCGAATGAATGTATATATTAGGGCTGCCAAACGATTAAAAATTTTAATAGAGTTCAAACTAACGGCAAAATTATGCCATATTTTTCTGTAAATGGTTGTTTAATTGGAAAAATAAATGACGACATAGTGTACATAAGAACTCTATTTGTTTATTCGATAGCAATAAATCCACATAAAACAGCATTAACATTATTCACATTTTGTCTTTCTGTAGTGGACAGTGTCTTTTCTACGTTGTATTAAAACCCGTAATTTAATTGAAAAGTTGAGCTCATATATTCAGCTGTGTATGAATTCAGGCCATAACACAAGCAGCGTTTCCGTCGAATTGTTATTCACGCGGGTGGTAATGACGTTCGGCGGAAACAGTCCGAGGTGTTGAAGCTGCAAGTCGCCGCCGTGTGCAAGCTGGCTAGCACAATGGCCGACACTGTCATCTTCTCTGGGCCCCTACCTAGCACTAGCAGTGCAGAAGCATTCAGCAGACACTCGGCTTTCAACCGCTGGCTGTCTGGCTGGTGCCCTCGAAGTGGTGTTGTTCATGTTGACAATTGGAGTGCCTTTTGGGGAAAGCCCGGTCTCATCCGCTCGGATGATATCCACCCAACGTTGGCGGGTACATCCCTTTTGGCTAAGAATTTGGCCCTGGCTCTAAACTGTTCTGCTCGGCTCAAATGACGATGCAGAACTGAGGCCCGGGTGCAGAGCTGCTCTGCCACAACCTCTGAGCCCCCATCTGTTCAGTTACTAGCCTCAGAGGCTAGTCAGATTGAAACTGTGTGTGCATGTGTGTGTGTGCCTGTGTGTGCTCAGTTACTAGCCTCAGAACCTAGTCAGATTGAAACTGTGTGTGTGTGTGTGTGTGTGCATGTGTGTGTGTGCCTGTGTGTGCTCAGTTACTAGCCTCAGAACCTAGTCAGATTGAAACTGTGTGTGTTCCCCGCTTGAAGTCTAAAGCACTATATGCGAGGAAATCTGACCTAGGTGTCAGACACAGTAACTTAATAAAAGTTCAGACAGACAGAAATAGTTCTAACAGTAGGGTTGTTAAATGTGGTTTAATGAACGTCAGATCAATCTCGTCTAAATCGCTTCTCATAAACGAACTTATTATAGACAAGGGCTTGGATCTGTTTGCGCTCTCGGAGACTTGGCTCCAACAGGACGACTACGTTAGATTGAATGAGTGCACTCCTCTGACGCATGTTAACTACCAGAAAGCCAGAACTACAAGTCGCGGCGGTGGCGTTGCGATTATATCACACACCAACTTGGTTCTTAGTCCCAAAACCAACAACGCTTTTCACTCGTTTGAAAACTTAACACTTTCAATCACCTGTCCTGGGTGGAGAAAACAAAAAGCAGTACTATTTATAGTTTTATACCGACCTCCTGGTCCTTACAGCGAGTTCCTAACAGAATTCTCTGACTTCATTTCAAACCTAGTTTTGGAATGGGAAAACATAGTTATAGCTGGAGACTTCAATATACATGTGGACGACAGCACTGACAGCTTAAACAAAGCTTTCAGCGCCGTACTAGATGGTGTTGGTTTTACTCAGAATGTCGAGGAACCTACTCACATTCATAACCACACCTTGGACCTTGTCCTGACCTACGGCTGTGATGTCTCCAATGTTGACATCCAGCGTCAAAGCTCGTTGCTGTCTGACCATTTCTTGATCACGTTTGATCTCGCTTTGGAGGACTTTCCTGTCCCGCAAGATAAAACCATAATGAAAAGAACCTTAAATGATAAATCTATCACAAGGTTCAAAGAACTAATACAGCCTATGTTGAATACTGCTGCAGGTGAACCTGTTCACAGCAGCTGCAGTCCCTCAGTCATTGACCAAACGGTGGGCAACACTATGGAGTCTTTAAAATCTGCATTAAATGCAGCAGCTCCTTTAAAACAGAAAACCATTAGGATTAGATCATCGTCGCCCTGGTACAGTGTTCAACTCCACACTTTAAAACAGGACGTCAGAAAATTGGAGAGGCTATATCGCCACTCCCACTCGGAGCCTGTCCACAGGGAGTGGAAAGCAGGTCTCCGAAACTACAAGAAGGCCCTTCGCGGGGCTCGAACTCAATACTATTCAACTTTAATAGAAGCGAATAAAAACAACAGTAGATTTTTGTTTGGTACCGTCGCTAAACTCACAAACTGCCATAGCGCAATCGAGCCTAAAATTCCAAGCTCACTGAGCAGTGTCGACTTTCTCCACTTCTTTAATAATAAAATTACATCCATCCGTGACAAGCTGGAGGAGGTTGCTCCTGCTGTTAGTGGTGGACAGGTTGAAGCGGCATACGTGACTTCCCACTTAGACTCTTCAGTGGGCCTTAATAAATTCATGGCTGTGAGCCAAGCAGAGGTGATCTCTGTGGTCACATCCTCAAAAGCCTCAACTTGCATGTTAGACGCAGTCCCGACATGGCTCTTCAAAGACATACTTCCTTCGATAATTGAGCCTATCGTAAATATAATAAACGCATCCATACAATGTGGCTATGTCCCACAAGCTTTTAAAACCGCGGTAATCAAACCCCTTCTGAAGAAAACAAACCTGGACCCAGAAATACTTACAAACTACAGACCGATCTCAAACCTCACTTTTATATCTAAAATCCTGGAAAAACTTATAGCTGAGCAGCTCCGCTGCCACCTGCAGGAAAATAATATGTTTGAAGTCTTTCAATCAGGATTCAGAGCTCATCATAGCACTGAAACGGCACTAGTCAAAGTCACAAATGACTTACTACTAGCTGCCGATAATGGACAAGTGTCAGTGCTGGTCCTACTGGACCTTAGTGCTGCATTTGACACAATAGACCACAGCATTCTACTGCAGAGGCTAGAATGTGATATAGGTCTTAGAGGAACAGCCCTTGGCTGGTTTAAATCCTATTTATCAGATCGATATCACTTCGTCAATGTGAATCAGGACTCGTCGCCTTATTCTGGAGTGGAATTCGGTGTGCCGCAGGGTTCGGTACTCGGACCGATTCTTTTTACTCTCTACATGCTGCCACTAGGAAACATTATTAAAAAGCATGGAATTAATTTCCACTGCTATGCAGATGACACACAGCTTTATCTGTCGATGAAGCCTAATCAGACAGATCAGCTAGAAAAGCTCAGTGCCTGCATAAAGGACCTTAAAATGTGGATGACTCTTAACTTCCTACTTCTCAACCCGGAGAAGACAGAAGTGATCCTACTCGGTCCGAAGCGCCTGCGTGACTCCCTCACTAACCAGATGGTTACTCTCGATAATGTCAGTATAATACCCAGTAACACTGTGAGGAATCTTGGAGTCATTTTTGACCAAGAACTCTCCTTCAAGGCTTATATAAGCCAAGCAACTAAAACGGCGTACTTCCACTTACGGAACATCGCTAAAATTAGGAATTTCCTTCCTAAAAGTGACGCGGAAAAACTCATTCACGCGTTTGTCACCTCAAGGCTCGACTACTGTAACGCTTTACTGGCAGCGTGCCCTAAAGCCTCTTTGAAGAGCTTCCAGCTCGTTCAGAATACAGCAGCTAGGATCTTAACAGGTACCAAAAGGAGGGAGCACATAACTCCGGTGTTAAAATCACTCCACTGGCTCCCTGTGGAGTACAGAATAAAGTTTAAAATCCTTCTCTTAACATATAAAGCCATAAATGGCTTGGCTCCTTCTTATCTCCAAGACACGTTAGTGTCGTATCAACCAGGTCGAGCGTTGCGCTCACAAAACGCCAGACGTCTGGTGGTTCCTAAGGTCTCAAAGGTCACTGTTGGTGG